CCTTTAAATATCACTTGACAAAAAGTTCAGCTCGTGTCGAACTACAAAGAGTGTCGAACTATCGAAGGTTTACTGTAATTGGAAACTCTCAATCTGAAAACAGGGCTGTGAGGCTTCGATCTACAAATTATCTGGATAAAATTCATCAATTTAATTCCGCCTTTGCCTTGATCAGCTATGAAGCTCATTTTGACGAGAGGGTCACACAGGGGATCTACAATTTCAGAATCCATGACAAGTTTTGCCACCGAATAGGTAATCTAATTCCTCAAGAAGGTCATGATCCTGAATACGCACAGATGACCATGAGCCACCAATATGAAACCCTCCCCCCCCATGGGAATTTATGACTTATACTTTTTTTTTTGGTATTACCTACCAGATTAAGGATTCAGTTGTTTGCCTCTTTTAAATTACAGCATATTCCGGAAAATAAAGAAAAACTGTTCAATTTAAAAACCGTTTTATTAAAATTACATAAGGGTAGCCTACGTTAATTACTGGTGAAATATTTTTTTATGGACTTCTTCAGTATATATTCAAAGGCTTCAAATGAAAATAAAAAAGTTAAAAAAAATACCCCCGCTGCAGCAAACCTGCAGGCAATGCGGATTTCAAATTGGCCTGAATTGATTTTCAATTAAATCTATTTAAATAACATTAGATTTAAAGAGTACCTCTAGGAAAGCAATTTTAAGAGATTCTAATTAAATTAAATAAATTTTATTTGAGACATTTTAGACGTAAATTTTACTGGAATGTAAGGTTCCAGTAAAATTAACGTCTAAAACTTCGTTTTCCTCGTATCAAAATCGGATTTGCGGCAATAATTTTATTTTTTTAAATCTCTTTAAAATAATGTGCCGATTGATATGGGTTGCAATTTAAAAAATTTCAACCCTGTTTGTGGGTGGGGGGTGAATTTCAAAATATCACCAAAAACAGCCTTACATTACCCTAGAAACGTGTATTGAAGCTTGTTTGAATTTATGAATATTTGTGCTGAGACCATTCATTATTTAGCATGTTAACCCATTGTTCTTTATTTTTACCATTAGCTAGGATTTTTTTCCAATCCCGTGGGATCTTGATTTTGGACATCTCATTAAGAACGTTTCTCCAAATCCTCTTCTCTCTTTCAATGTTTTAATACTTACATCTAAATAGGTATCCGTAATAAAGTATATCCTGCTGAGTTTCGGAAAACGGCTGAAGGCAATCTGTGCTAGTTCACCAGAGGTTTCTGGAATATTAGTAAGAACCTAAAAGTAAGCCATACCGTCAATTACATACATACATTATTCAATCTTGAGAGGTTCGTCTATACCCTTGTTCTCCAAAGCATGGAGCAGTTTGGCCTTTTCTGTATTGGTTGGGCATCCATCGACAGTGGCTGATGCCCATGGTACTGGATCTAATGGGTATGTCATAAGCTTCTCAAGGTTAATATCACGTTCTTGGGACAGCAGTAAAACTCCAGAAAAATATTTTTTATTGCTCTTATCTCAACTAATCTGTTTGCATGCAGCTTTCCCTAGATTATCTACATTAAATAAGTTGTCTTCCACCGATTCGGGTACAGGTCTTCCAGCTGATAAACAGACCATCTAGGAATTCTGATCACAGTTTTCAACTTCAAGCAGAATAATGCATTGTTCAAAAGCATCAAGTACAGTACAGAGGTTGCTCACTTCGTTTCATTTCATTTGCTTGCATGTCACTGAGAACAATTTGATGACTTCACCATACTTGCATTTTTAAATTCTAACTTGCTGTGGGCCCGTTCTACGCACAGGAATCAACTAATCAAATAAAAAAAAAAAAAAAAAATCTATACTAAAAGACCCATGCTGCACTGCGGCGTTAAAATAAATATCATATCCGAGAAATAATCAAATTGATTATTTTTTATTGTGTAATACAGTATCTTAAACTTAACTGATTCAAACGATCAAACGATCAATAGCTCAAATTAAAGCCTATAATTGACTGATTATTTTGAGTCTAAAACATATAAAAAAACTTAAACAATACTGGAGCTATTGATATTCAATCATAGAAAAACCTTATATTTTTTTATGTTGGATGTTCACCTTGCGTTTGCTTGAAAACCGTCCGATTTGAATAACTAATATCTTAAATGCAAGCCGGTATTTCACTGAAGGTTCTTAGACCAAAATATATAGGGTTATATAATTACAAATGGTAAAATACTGTACAATTTAAATTGAAATACGAATTAAAAAATATATCAAACCTATGTTTTTTGGTCGAGTAATAAAGTAGATAAATATACGATGATGCTTGATGTGAAATATATGTGTGCATACTACCAATTTAAGACCTCAATCATGAAGATCGGACGTGTAGAAGAGCCAAAGAAACTCGGAGAAGAAAAAAAAACAAATTTAACCCCCTTTAGAAATACATGGGGGGTAAATTTAATTTACGTATAAGCCGAGTGGGACTGTTGATAAATATATACTGATGCTTGATGTGAAATCTGTGCGTGCATACCTTCAATTTGAGACCTCGATAATGAAAATCGGGTGGGTAGAAGAGCCAAACGAACTCGGAAAAGAAAAACCAAATTTAACTCCCATAAGAAATACATGGGAAAAAATGTTGTTTACGTATAAGCCGAGTGGGACTGTAGGCAACTATATGCCGATGCTTGATCGCTTGATGTGAAATCTGTGCGTTAATACCTTCAATTTGAGACCTCAATCATGAAAATCGGTCGGGTTGTAGAGCCAAACGAACTCGCTAAAGTAAAACCATTTTTTAAATATATATATTCATGATATTTTTGTGTTTTCCGGAACATGCTGTAATTCACAAGTGGCAAACACCTAAAACCTTAAAGTACATGTCAATACAAACAAAAAAATGTATATGTCGAAAATTCCCACGGGGGGGGGGAGGGGGGGTAAACGCCAGCCTCCGCTCTATAAGTACAACATTGGAACTGGAACCCAACAGCGCATGTAAAACAAACAAAAAATGCAATGAAAAAATATATGGGAAATAGAGTCACAATGCCAACCCATTTGCCAAATCTTTTAAAACTGTGGCAGACATTTTTTTTCTTTAAAGAGGTTGGCGGCCTCTTTCAACCTTGCATTTGCCCGTCCACATACACTATGCGCCCGTGCGTGGATCGTTTACAGCAAAGCAAGGAGTGTTAAGATGTCGACAAGATGGATTCGTATTTAGTAGTTATTAGTATTTAGATTAAATTAGTATTTATTTTTATAGTTGAGACCTAGGTTTCTACATCGAAACGTTATCAGTCCTATGTCTCATAGGCTAGCTAAACTTCTTGTTTGCCATCTCTTACTTGAGATATTGTCGATTTGGTATAATTTGTACAAACATTGATATGATATGTATGTGTATTAGTATGTGTCGAGGTATGCCTAGGCAATAGATTAAACGATTCCTTGGTGTAGATTAAAAATAGTGATGAATGTAAATCAGTTTGAATTTTATTTTAACTGTTAAGTGAGTTTAAGCATCACTGAATTATAGGTAATATAAACCATTTAATTCAATAAGTGATCCTGGGCCACTAAGCATAATGAAATATTATGTGCATGCTCCCATAACTGGATTTCAACGGTCTGATACTAAAATAGCGGCTGTCCTAAAGCATCGCCAATGCTTAACGCCTGTTACCTTCTGAACTGTCCTCCCCTCCAAAATAATTATTTAATTTGTCTTTATTTTTTTACAGAATACGAGTGGTCTTGTCAAGTCTGCAATTACACAAAAGCGCAATTCAATAAAACTTATCTCATGTATCATTTGTACTATTTCCTGCCTTTGTTGAGCTAAGCATATATTTTCTATGGAATAAAGATTATTGGGTGAATGGTGTGCGGTTAAGAAGAGAAAATTATCACTTGGTTTGGTATGTAGATTTAGGTTCAAATACAAGACTTAAATGAAGTAAAACAATGAAGCAGTTTGTACCTTTTAATTTTTACTAGTAGCACAAAAATTAACATGTTTATGTGATTATATGATGCATGTAATAATTAATATTGTAGGTTTATCCACCAAGATTATCAAGAATTTGCATGGATTCAGTACATTAATCAACCAATCATTTTCATTAAAAATATAATATAGTACATTACAAATATTTAAAAAATCTACACTAAATACAATTGTTTTATTAACCTGTACAGTTGATGAGTTTTACTGAAATGCCTTAAAAGCCAGTCTAGTTACTAAGAGTAGGTACAATTAATTCACCATTTAAAAATAATGTAATATATTCATAAAAATGTACACAAAATGGAAAAATCAACAAAATTTTGACATTAGTGGGTTTTCTGTATGTATGCAATACACAATAATAAGATAGTCAAGATAGTAAATAAGATTACAGTTTCATTTGTAATATGTAGGATACATTAAAAAACCCTAGAGAATATTTATATATAAACAGATAAACAGTCCTGGATACAACTAAGCATTGTAAAGAGTGACCGAGGAATCAAACATTGTTTTAGCTGATAGTACGGTATATGCACCATAGTTATTGTAGTTATTGTTGAGAGTAGGGAGGGGTGTCATTCAATTTTGTATATTATGCCGTTTAATTAGCTATGGAGCATTATAAACGGTAAAAACCATACGTTTGCGAACTATAAGTATCAGAAATGTTGTGCCTATCAAGTCTCTTTTCAACACATAATGAATGAAAAATCATATTTAAGCTATTTGTGATGGATCTTCCAAATGTGTGTGTCTCTTCATATTTCCACTGATTTGGAAGGATTTCCCACATGTAGTACAGTCATGAGGTTGCTCTTCTGTGTGAAACAAAAAAATGAGTCTTCATCTCGCTGCTGGTTTGGAAGGATTTTGCACACGTAGTGCACTTATGAAGTCGCTCTTCTGTGTGAAGCAATAAATTAATCTTCATATTGTTCATGGTTTTAAAGGATTTTCCACATATTTATTTCATTGTGAATATTTCATTGTGTTATCTATTGATCTTGTGATCTTGAGGTCTCTCCAGTGTGATCTAAAGCATGTTTCTTTAAACTGCTACTGAATCGGTAGGTTTTTCCACATGTAATGCACTTATGAGGTCGCTCTTCTGTGTGAACCAATGTATGAATCTTCATATTGCCGCTAGTTCGGAAAGATTTTCCACATGTAGTGCACTTATGAAGTCGCTCTCCAGTGTGAACCATTGTATGTTGCTTCATCATATTTTTGGTTTTGAAGGATTGTTCACATATAGTGCACTTATGAGGTCGCTCTTCTGTGTGAATCAATGTATGTTTCTTCAAACTGCTACTGAATCGGAAAGTGCTTCCACATGTAATGCACTTATGAGGTCGCTCTGCTGTGTGAATCAATGTATGTTTCTTCAAACTGCTACTATATCGGAAGGTTCTTCCACATGTAATGCACTTATGAGGTCGCTCTCCTGTGTGAACTAATGTATGAATCTTCATATTGCCGCTTGTTTGGAAGGATTTTCCACATGTAATGCACTTATGAGGTCGCTCTCCCGTGTGAACAATGTATGAATCTTCATATTGCCGCTAGTTCGGAAAGATTTTCCACATGTAGTGCACTTATGAGGTCGCTCTCCAGTGTGAACCATTGTATGTTGCTTCATCATATTTTTGGTTTTGAAGGATTGTTCACATATAGTGCACTTATGAGGTCGCTCTTCTGTGTGAATCAATGTATGTTTCTTCAAACTGCTACTGAATCGGAAAGTGCTTCCACATGTAATGCACTTATGAGGTCGCTCTGCTGTGTGAATCAATGTATGTTTCTTCAAACTGCTACTATATCGGAAGGTTCTTCCACATGTAATGCACTTATGAGGTCGCTCTCCTGTGTGAACTAATGTATGAGTCTTCATACTGCTGCTGGTTTGGAAGGATTTTGCACACGTAGTGCACTTATGAAGTCGCTCTTCTGTGTGAAGCAATAAATTAATCTTCATATTGTTCATGGTTTTAAAGGATTTTCCACATATTTATTTCATTGTGAATATTTCATTGTGTTATCTATTGATCTTGTGATCTTGAGGTCTCTCCAGTGTGATCTAATGCATGTTTCTTTAAACTGCTACTGAATCGGTAGGTTTTTCCACATGTAATGCACTTATGAGGTCGCTCTCCCGTGTGAACCAATGTATGAATCTTCATATTGCCGCTAGTTCGGAAAGATTTTCCACATGTAGTGCACTTATGAGGTCGCTCTCCAGTGTGAACCATTGTATGTTGCTTCATCATATTTTTGGTTTTGAAGGATTGTTCACATATAGTGCACTTATGAGGTCGCTCTTCTGTGTGAATCAATGTATGTTTCTTCAAACTGCTACTGAATCGGAAAGTGCTTCCACATGTAATGCACTTATGAGGTCGCTCTGCTGTGTGAATCAATGTATGTTTCTTCAAACTGCTACTATATCGGAAGGTTCTTCCACATGTAATGCACTTATGAGGTCGCTCTCCTGTGTGAACTAATGTATGAATCTTCATATTGCCGCTTGTTTGGAAGGATTTTCCACATGTAATGCACTTATGAGGTCGCTCCCCTGTGTGAATCAATATATGTTTCTTCAAACTGCTACTGAATCGGAAGGTTCTTCGACATGTAATGCACTTATGAGGTCGCTCTCCTGTGTGAATCAATGTATGAGTCTTCATACTACTGCTAGTTCGGAAAGATTTTCCACATGTAGTGCACTTGTGAGGTCGCTCTCCAGTGTGAACGATTGTATGTTGCTTCATCATATTATTGGTTTTGAAGGATTTTTCACATATAGTGCACGTATGAGGTCGCTCTTCTGTGTGAATCAATGTATGAGTCTTCATACTGCCCCTGCTTTGGAAGGATTTTCCACATGTAATGCACTTATGAGGTCGCTCTTCTGCGTGAATCAATGTATGAGTCTTCATACTGCTGCTGGTTTGGAAGGATTTTCCACATATAATGCACTTATGAGGTCGCTCTCCAGTGTGAACCATTGTATGTTGCTTCATCATATTAATGGTTTTGAAGGATTTTCCACATATAATGCACTTATGAGGTCGTTCTTCTGTGTGAATCAATGTATGAGTCTTCATACTGCCCCTGGTTTTGAAGGATTTTCCACATATAATGCACTTATGAGGTCGCTATTCTGTGTGAGTCAATGTATGAATTTTCATACTGCTGCTGGTTTGGAAGGATTTTCCACATGTAGTGCACTTATAAGGTTGCTCTTCTGTGTGAACCTTTGTATGTCTCGTCATTAGATTAATGGTTTTAAAGGATTTTCCACATATAATGCACTTATGAGGTCGCTTTTCTGTGTGAATCAATGTATGAGTCTTCATACTGCTGCTGGTTTGGAAGGATTTTCCACATGTAATGCACTTATGAGGGCGCTCTCCAGTGTGAACCATTGTATGTTGCTTCATCATATTAATGGTTTTGAAGGATTTTCCACATATAATGCACTTATGAGGTCGTTCTTCTGTGTGAATCAATGTATGAGTCTTCATACTGCTGCTGGTTTGGAAGGATTTTCCACATATAATGCACTTATGACGTCGTTCTACTGTGTGAACTAATGTATGCATCTTCATCTCGCTGCTGGTTTTGAAGGATTTTCCACATATAGTGCACTTATGAGGTCGCTGTCCCGTGTGAACCATTGTATGAATCTTTATATGGCTGCTGGTTTGGAAGGATTTTCCACATATAATGCACAAGTAAGGTCGCTCTCCTGAGTGAACCAATGTATGAATCTTCATGTTGCTGCTGGTTTTAAAGGATTTTCCACATGTAGTGCAATTAAACGGAAACTTACCAGAATGTGTCAATAAATGGTCCTTTATTTGACTTAGTCGAAAAAATGTTTCCTCACATGACAAACATTTAAAGGAACGCTCGCCTGAGTGTAAACACATATGACACTTCATATTTGATAGAGTTGAAAACAATTTTCTACATATTGGACACTTAGGGAGAGACTTTCTAGTGCTCTTTAACATTTTTTAGTTTTTAATCTTTGACTCTTCTAACTTATCAGACAATCTTGAAACTAATTGAAATTAGTCAGTTGGCTTTGTATATTTATTTAAAAATGTCTATTTTTGTGGGAATGTTTAACTGTTATATAAAGGTATCAAATAAATTTGATGAACTATTGCCCAAGTACTGTATTAAATATCATACAACCTAGCCTACTTGAGACATTTTGCTTTTTTACTTAACTTTGAAGTACTATTTTAAACACACATATAAAAGAAAAATTGGCTTCTTCTTTATGTTTCATGTTGTTTTTAAATAATATTGCATCATCTATATGAACGTAATGTATAGTATAAATTCAAATTTACATAGTAAATTACTTACTTTAATTAGCACTTTTAGTGTAAAAACTAAATCTTTTTATCTGCTGTTTAAAGTATTACATCAGATTATGTAAATTATATTTCTTGCGATGGTATTGAAGTTCCTTTGTCTCTTCAAATTGTCTATTCTGAAAAAGACCATAATTTATTAAATATATACAGTTAGTTGTATTGTATTTAGGTGATTTTCTTGTTGAAATTTAGAATCATAAAGCCCTGCACACACCAGAGCGATACTCCGTGCGATACTGGAGCGGGCGCGATACTTTTTCTTGGAAATTCTCTTGCGATACCAGTGGTCCGTGCGATACCATGGAGCCTTATGGAGCCGCACACACCAGAGCGAACCGCGATACGCGATACCGAGGCGAATGCGATACCGTAGCGATAGTATCGCGGTAACGCTGCATGCACTGTTTGCAGCGCTGTATCGCGGCGATACCAATGTGGCCAAACGATGAACTACTCACTTTTGTCTTTTCTCTGTACGTGTAAAAACAACAACAACATGTCGTGTATCACCGAACATTTACTTGAAGTTGTTTATACATACCCGATGCACTATGATTTATATCACGTTTTAGCAACTAGAAATTTAAAATAGGGTTCGTCTTCATTATTTGTTATTAAACTACGTTTTTCTGAAGAATTTACAATAGAATTCCCAAACATTCAGACATCTTGGATTTATTAATTATTTTAACACTTAAACATTTGATTTGAGTTATCAATAGTTTTTCCAGTGCCGCCGTAAATCCAATGTTGGGTGATTGCTGACAGAATAACGTATTTAATACTGGTTTGATGATGATTCAAATTACTATTTAATAGTTCATACAATATTGTATTAGCTATAGCACAGCATATTGTAGAGGTTTTGCTAGTCAGACTAGACGAACTAGAGAGATGGTAGGTAATGGTAATGGTAATGGAGGTGGGTGGAATGCTAATTGATCCGTCAACTCATTGAAAAATATATCTACATACCAGTCTTACCTTAAAGTGATTGGGGAGCGAGCTGGCGTAGTGGTTAGAGCGCGGGACTTCAGTCCCTGAGGTCCCGGGTTCGATCCCCGCCAAGTCACCAATGGATGTTATCTAACTGGTTATGCCGCAACCCCTAGGTCTAGCCTGAAGTAATGTGAAAAACAATCCCAAGCTCGTGCCTAGCGTCCTAGGAAAAAAACCTTAAAGTGATTGCTAGCCGTTCTTCGGCACTCGCTTCACGGTAGTGGGTACTTTCCTTTTCAATAATGCCAGAAATCAAACTCAGCAACTCGTCAAAACATTCCTGATTAATTCCAGAATATGTAGCATCTTGTTTAATCTTTTCTTAACTGGGTCATGAGCGTATATGGTACTCGCCAAATCGCAGCCGTTCTTTATTTATGTCGTATACCCACATTTTCCTTGCTCTCTCATCTTCTATAATAGCACGGCTAGTTAACAGAAAAGCTTCTTCCTCATCAGACCATGTCATAGTTTTAAGTTTACACACAGTACAGTATACAAACACTAACTATAACACAACACTTTTGCAACTAGAGAGTCTCACAACCACCGCACCCTCTGAGGTGTACTGGCTTTCCCGCGCGTCCCTTTCCCGCTCTGGTGTGGAAGCACCTGTTTTCGCTGCGATATTATCGCCCAAATATCGCAGATAAAATTCTAAGAATAGTATCGCGCCACTCTAGCGATAAAGTATCGCTCCGGTGTGTACAGGGCTTAAAAGCAATTGTAATGTATGTAATCTATATACGCAAGCAGTTTTCTTTTCACAGTCATAACTCGATAATGGCTTGACGGATTATAACGTTTGAGGTGTCAAATTAAAGGTATTTTCACGTAGATGTGCAAATACGTCTTGGAAAATTAAGAAAGGGCATCACTTAAGTACAGTCAAGGGTTAAAGTTTGGGAATGGCAGTGTTATCTGTTGACATTAGATCAAACAGTCAAACTCAATTCTCTTTGTTTACAACTAAACATATGAACGTAGTTTGATATAGTTAAGCCAAAAAGTAAAACAGCTTACGAAAACAAATTGCATTTACACCTATACCAGTAACCTAAAAACATATTGTACTTCAATAATATTAATTAACCAGAAATGAATGGCCTATCTTTAACTAAACTGGATGTGAAATCAATTTAATGAAGTATATACAGTGTTAGTATTTTGCTTTAATACACGCACGAACATCACTCACTATTCATTAATCACTAAACATCAACACCAAACCAAAATAGCATTTTGAGGTGAGCTCAGTTGTTTTCTAATTTCTAGTTTTAGAAATTAGATGGTTTGAGTTATGACAAACAGGTGTGCCAACATCAGTTCTACCCATCATAATGGTAGCTTGTCGTACAGAATATCCAGATTGTGATGGCTGCCCTGATTTAGGAGTGCGCACACAACTTTAGACTCTGCCCCAAAGCGCCCATACTAAAGCATTGGAATGACGTCATGGCACCCTCAGAGCTGTTTGGTTGTTCTGCCATAAGACTACATGTATTGGGATTGGGACGGTCTGGCCGCCGTCCGCGCTGTCCTTACTAAGCAAGCGACGATCAAAATTTAGTCTTTACTGAATTGAATTATCCAATTATTTGGTATATTTATGTTGTATATAGTTTGAAGTGATCGTTAAAGTAATTTTAATTAAATTTAACTGAATAAAATTAATATTAAAATGTAATTTATTTATGTATTGTTGGGAGGGCAGCGTCCGAGAGTCCTTATGGGCTAGCCGCCACTGCCTGTACTGTATGCAATATTTCAATTTGTATGTATCTGTAGCCTAACTTAACTATTTGAAGTGGTCTATAACTGTATTACTGTTCAATCGACCAAATAAAGAATCTTGTATCTTGTAATCTTATAATATTGCCATTTTAGGAAAAATATTTTTTTTTGCAGCAAAGCCTCGGTAACACAATTTATGATCACTGTTGGGGTTCAACTGAAAATATCATCTAAATAGTCCGTGACTAACTAGTGCTGCTACCTTGTTTGTAACGCATGGAACAACGTTTGCTGGAGTTTTCGACCACTGGACGACCTCTAGTAAAAATCATTAGGTGAATTGCTTACGGTTAGGAAGAGGAGTTATCAATAGATAGGTAGATTAAAGATCAAGTACAGTACATACTTAAATGAAGTCAAACACTTACAGCAGTTAATATCTTTTAATTTTCTATAGTCGTATACAAATTAACAATCAAACAAAAAATAAATACAACAGTTTGTTTATGTTGTATATGAGACATGTAATTAATATTGTAGGTTTATCCTAATTCAATATTTCATGTGGATTCAATACATTAATCAATCTTTCATTTTCATTAAAAATACAATACAGTAAAAATATTTGATAAATCTACACTACATAGGCTACATTTTTTAATTTACATTACCATTAACATTAACATTTTTACATTAACATTTTTTTGCAGTCGATAGTAGAGGGAATTCTCTTAACTCTTGTTTGGAAAAGGGACCTAATTTAATAGAACTAATTCCAGCTCTTCTAATGAAGTTTAGAAAACACCCAATAGGTGTTATTTCAGATATTAAGAAAGCTTTCTTGCAAGTAAGTTTAACAGAAAGTGACTGAGACGCTTCAAGATTTTTGTGGTGGGAGCGACTTATTGGAGTGGTAAAGGAAATTTTACGACAAAACTTGGGAAATTCTTTAGTCACACAGAAAGAACTCTCAACAATTTTGTGTGATTGTGAAGCAACTGTAAATTCAAGACCTTTGACTTATCTTTCGAATGATGATGACTGTTTACAACCATTAAGTCCAGCCTTATTCTTACAACCAACATCAACAGCTGAATTACCCGATTTGAATGAAATTGAGTGTCTAAGTTTGAATAAAAGAGTGCGTTATATAAACAAAATAAGAAGATCACTAAGAGACAGGTTTAAGAAAGAGTATTTGGCTACACTCGTTCACAATGGAAAAAACAAGAAAAGTAGAGAACCCATTATTGGAGAAGTTGTATTGATAGGAGATGATAACACAAAACGAATAAGATGGCCTTTGGGGTTGGTACAGGATGTATATCCAGGAAGAGATGAATTCTCCAGAGTCGCAAGACTAAAAACTGAAAATGGTATTTTGACAAGACCACTACAAATACTTTTCCCATTAGAAATCACAGCTTGTGAAAAAGAGTGTATGAAAGAAAATAAAACACTTGAAGAAGAAGAAGGTATAGGCCTAGTTGAAAACGAAGTCTTTGATTTGGCTAAGAAGAAAACCAGATGTGGAAGAGAAGTAAAAGTGCCCCAGCGATTTTACTGATTTAAAATTGCACATGATTGGTTAGCAATTTGAAATGGGGGGAGGATGTTGTGAACTTTATTGTATATCTTTTCACTTCATTGATTTTCCTTTTGAACTGGCTGTTATATCTTTTCTAAACTAACTGTGTTTTGTTTTATCACATGTTAAATATTTTGTATTGAAGTAATTTAATTGTTTGAAGGTTCAGTTTTAGACTTTGGTATTAATAAAGAAGCTTACTAATCTGTTTGTGAAATAATTATTTTATCATTTATGGTAATTATTTCAAGATTCAAAACAGAGTCAATAAACTCGAAACGGTAATTAAATAACGAACACGTTAGAGCCCTAGACTATCTCATTGTATGCTAAGCTATCTGGAAAAATTAAGGTGTGACCTAATTTCAGGTGAGACGACTATTACGTATTTTAAAATCTAATTTTGTCTCTCAACCCGAAATTTTGTCATAGTGCTTAAACACTTTTAGGTCATAGGTGAGACGTTTGGTTCGTTGTTTAACAATAGCTTGGTTTATTTACAATAAGATCCACCACACACACTACCATTGACAATTGATACAAATCATGATTAGGATTCAATGGATGTGATGTGTATTAGGTTCCTAGGAAGGTTATTTCGCATTTCCGGAATACTCTCTAGCCCAAGTACGAGATATATAGTCACGAGATATGTGCATGTGTGAATTTTTGTGACGTGTTTTCCTTATGGAACCCCCAAAATCTGATGGATCTTTAAGGGCGCCTTAAACCAGAAAGTGGCAGAAACATTTTTAGTGGCTGTAATTTGCTGAGACGTTTTCCATTTTCTTAACACGAGAATGAAGAATTAACACAAAAGGTTATCTTATAAAAGGATAGGGCATTTGCCAGGAATTATTAAGGAAATTGACAGGAAAGCAGGCTTACCTTTAAATAAGTCCATAGAGACACATAACACATCACAAAATTAAAAGTAGAAATTTTCGTGGTCACTGACCACTTTTTCAACCACTGGAGATTGGAGAAATGGCAATGGCAGTTGCAATTTGAATCTATTGCACCTTGTCAGGGTTGCCAACACAGATGAAGAGACTAAAAATTGTTTTTACTGTTGCATATGTATGAATGTGTTCACTTATTATGAATAATCCACTATATTTACACTGTTCTATATTTACACATATGTACACACACATATTAACATTTTTTATATACACTAGCCTGCTATGGAAGGTGAGGAATGGGGTTTATCTTAGATTAAGGTTTGGTGGGTTTCTAGAATGGGTGAACCATTGGTAGCTTAGTTCCCATCTTCTCAGTTCTGAGGGGTTGCAGTTTGGAGGCAGTTGTTTTATTATTTTTGAAGAGTAGCAGCTATTAAAATCAGATTTTGAGTGGGATGAGGCATGGTTGACTACTGGTTTGTCTTTATAATTATTTTTTACATCTTGACGATGACCGTTCATTCTGGTACGGAACTGGTTCTTTGTTAGGCCTATATACTGAGCTGGGCAGTTTTTACATTGAAGCTGATAAATTACATTGCTGGTGCTGCAGGTGTTGTGTCCTTGAATCTTGAAAACTTCATTTGTGGCGTTGCTGGAAAAACTTGTGGTGGGGGGGTTGATGGGACACGTTTTACATCTGGAAGTATTACATGGGAAAGAGCCGTTAGGGGGTTTGTTTCTGGTTGCTGTGATTGGATCCGGTATCTTAGGATGAACAAGAATCTTTTTGATGTTAGGTGGTTGGCGAAATGTGGTGGTTGGGGGGGTTTTCAGGAAATCCTTTGTGTGGGGGGAAGCTTGGAGAATTTTGAATCCATCTTTTAGAATGGAGTTGAGGGATTGTAGGCCATGGTGGTATTCGGTTATTAGGTTTAGGTTTTGCTGTGGTTTTAGTTTCTTTGTTGGAGGGTTGTTTGATTGGGCTAAACGGATTTGGTTTTCTACAAGGTTTTTGGGGTAGCCTCTTTCAACAAATGCGTTGGAAATTTTCGAATTGAAATTGGAGAGTTCCTCTTGTTCGACAGAAGAGGAACTCTCCAATTTCAATTCGAAAATTTCCAACGCATTTGTTGAAAGAGGCTACCCCAAAAACCTTGTAGAAAACCAAATCCGTTTAGCCCAATCAAACAACCCTCCAACAAAGAAACTAAAACCACAGCAAAACCTAAACCTAATAACCGAATACCACCATGGCCTACAATCCCTCAACTCCATTCTAAAAGATGGATTCAAAATTCTCCAAGCTTCCCCCCACACAAAGGATTTCCTGAAAACCCCCCCAACCACCACATTTCGCCAACCACCTAACATCAAAAAGATTCTTGTTCATCCTAAGATACCGGATCCAATCACAGCAACCAGAAACAAACCCCCTAACGGCTCTTTCCCATGTAATACTTCCAGATGTAAAACGTGTCCCATCAACCCCCCCACCACAAGTTTTTCCAGCAACGCCACAAATGAAGTTTTCAAGATTCAAGGACACAACACCTGCAGCACCAGCAATGTAATTTATCAGCTTCAATGTAAAAACTGCCCAGCTCAGTATATAGGCCTAACAAAGAACCAGTTCCGTACCAGAATGAACGGTCATCGTCAAGATGTAAAAAATAATTATAAAGACAAACCAGTAGTCAACCATGCCTCATCCCACTCAAAATCTGATTTTAATAGCTGCTACTCTTCAAAAATAATAAAACAACTGCCTCCAAACTGCAACCCCTCAGAACTGAGAAGATGGGAACTAAGCTACCAATGGTTCACCCATTCTAGAAACCCACCAAACCTTAATCTAAGATAAACCCCATTCCTCACCTTCCATAGCAGGCTAGTGTATATAAAAAATGTTAATATGTGTGTGTACATATGTGTAAATATAGAACAGTGTAAATATAGTGGATTATTCATAATAAGTGAACACATTCATACATATGCAACAGTAAAAACAATTTTTAGTCTCTTCATCTGTGTTGGCAACCCTGACAAGGTGCAATAGATTCAAATTGCAACTGCCATTGCCATTTCTCCAATCTCCAGTGGTTGAAAAAGTGGTCAGTGACCACGAAAATTTCTACTTTTAATTTTGTGATGTGTTATGTGTCTCTATGGACTTATTTAGAATTAACACAAAAGATTTGATTTAAAATGAATGAACACATCATAAATTAATGTATGAAACGTCATATAGCAACTATTTGTGATGGATCTTCCAGATGTGGTGCAATCATGAGGTCCCTCCAGTGTGAATTAATTATCCATAAGGCTCTTCATATGACTGCTGGTTTGGAAGGATTTTCCACTTATGAGGTCACTCTCTTGTCTGAACCAGTATATGCCTCATTACATCTTGCTTGTATTTGAATGATTTTCCACATTTAGGGCACTGATGAGGTCGCTCTCCCGTGTGAACCAATGTATGTCTCCTCAAAATGCTGCTGGTTTGGAAGGATTTCCCACATATAGTGCACTGATGAGGTCGCTCTCCCGTGTGAACCAATGTGTCTCTTCAAAATGCTGCTGGTTTGGAAGGATTTCCCACATGTAATGCACATATGAGGTCGCTCTCCTGTGTGATCCAATGTATGACTCTTCATACCTTTTTTGCTTTTAAAGGATTTCCCACATGTAGTGCACTGATGAGGTCGCTCTCCCGTGTGAACCAATGTATGACTCTTCAAAATGCTGCTGGTTTGGAAGGATTTCCCACATGTAATGCACATATGAGGTCGCTCTCCCGTGTGAACCAATGTATGTCTCTTCAAAATGCTGCTGGTTTGGAAGGATTTCCCACATGTAATGCACATATGAGGTCGCTCTCCTGTGTGATCCAATGTATGACTCTTCATACCTTTTTTGCTTTTAAAGGATTTCCCACATGTAGTGCACTGATGAGGTCGCTCTCCCGTGTGAACCAATGTATGTCTCTTCAAAATGCTGCTGGATTGGAAGGATTTCCCACATGTAGTGCACTGATGAGGTCGCTCTCCCGTGTGAACCAATGTATGTCTCTTCAAAATGCTGCTGGATTGGAAGGATTTCCCACATGTAGTGCACTGATGAGGTCGCTCTCCCGTGTGAACCAATGTATGACTCTTCAAAATGCTGCTGGATTGGAAGGATTTCCCACATGTAGTGCACTGATGAGGTCGCTCTCCCGTGTGAACCAATGTATGACTCTTCATACCTTTTTTGCTTTTAAAGGATTTTCCACATATAGTGCACTGATTAGATCGATCTCTTGTGTGAACATATGTATGAGCCTTCATATCGCTGCTGGTTTTGAAGGATTTTTCACATGTAGGGCACTTATGAGGTCGCTCTCCCGTGTGAATCAATGTATGATTCTTCATGTCTTTCTTAGTTTTGAAGGATTTTCCACATGTAATGCACTTATGAGGTCGCTCTCGCGTGTGAACCAATGCATGTGTCTTTATATCTTGCTTGGATTTGAAGGATTTTCCACATATAGTGCACTTATAAGTTCGCTCTTCTGTGTGAACCAATAAATGAATCTTCATATAGCTGCTGGTTTTGAAAGATTTTCCACATGTAGTGCACTTATGAGGTCGCTCTCCTGTGTGAAGCAATGTATGAATCTTCATCTCGCTCCTGGTTTTGAAGGATTTTCCACATGTAATGCACTTGTAAGGAAACTTCCCAGAATGTGTAAACAGATGATTCTTTACCTGAGATTTTTTAATAAATGTTTTTTCACATGTCAAACATCTAAAGGGACGCTCACCTGTGTGTAAATATATATGACACTTCATTGTCGGTAGAGTTGAAAACATTTTTCTACATATTGGACACTTAAATGGAGGCTTTTTAGTGATATTTAACATTCTTTGTTTTATATTTCTGATTGCTAATATCAGGAAAACTAGTAACTAATTGGATTTATTCAATTGGCTTTGTTTGTCTATTTTTGTGTATTTTGTGTATTAAATATCATACCACATAGGTTAGTGGTGTTACTTATAGTGTTTACTTACTTTCATTTGTACTTTTAAGGTAGTGAAAACTTAATCTTATTAGCTGCTGTTTAAAGTATTATTTCAGATTACGTAAATTATCTTTCTTGTGACATGAATTGAAGTTCCTTTTCCTCTTCAAATCTATTTCCTATCCTGAAAAAGATCATAATTTATTAAATACTAGCAGTATTACCCGTGCTTTGCAACGGGAAGAGGACACGAAATAGAAAGATTTTGATCGTTACGACTGTTGTCTAAAATAGTTATTCATCCGCCAACGCTTCTAGAAACAAAATTCAACATTTATGGCCTTTATAGAAACTTTGGTGGCTTTTAAATCTGGTAAGTAGTGGAAGCCATCATTTTGGTTTTGACTAATTAATTAGCCACCCTACCCGTTCTTAGCAACGGAAAGAGAACGCTAAAGAGAATAATTACTATTCCATAGATCTGCTGTATATAGATTAACTTTTAGTAATCCACTAAAAGTATTAACTTAAAGTATTAACTGGCTCTTTCGTATCCCAGGCATTATTTTTTGGGAAATAAACCATACAAATACAATGGATTTTTATAAACATTTTGGAAAAAAGAAAGTCAATAAGTTATTAATTATGCACCTAAAAAATAAAACTACTTATTCACACACTACGTGTCAACGATTATTTATTAAACTAGCAGAGTACCCGTCCTTCGCACAGGGTTGGCATATAAGTATAAAATGCTTATTGCAGTTATACTCATAAGCTTTGCGTTTGCAATGGGTTAGGACACATTTTGATAAAATATGCTTCTTTAAATTTATGGTGTACTATAGTATTACCATAGACAAAAAGAATTAAATATAGACCATCAGCTATGCTGCGGTTACCATATGTTCTGGCGCACACCACTGGTAGCGCTGGTAGGGCCAGATACGCAGATTCTTTGAAAGTTAATTCAGTGAGCCCTAGACTCACTAACTCAGCAACTAAAGTGCAAACTAAAAACCTGTCAGCTATAGTTTTCCACATTTTTATTGTTTGTGTCTAGTAACCTTTATGTTTTTATTCCTTTGTGTAAAGTATTTGCAGCTTAAATGTTCCTACTAAAAAAATCTAGTCAACCAAAAATGTCCATTCACTATATACCTATACTGTATGCAATATTTCAATTTGTATGTATCTGTAGCCTAACTTAACAATTTGACGTGGTCTATAACTGTATTACTGTTCAATCGACCAAATAAAGAATCTTGTATCTTGTAATCTTATAATATTGCCATTTTAGGAAAAATAATTTTTTTCGCAGCAAAGCCTCGGTAACACAATTTATGATCACTGTTGGGGTTTAACTGAAAATATCATCTAAATAGTCCGTGACTAACTAGTGCTGCAACCTTGTTTGTAACGCATGGAACAACATGCTGTAGCGCTATCTGTTCGCAATCGATGGCGTGAGCTTAAATACCGGTTTTTGACTCCTCAGTCTCCAAGCACAGATAGCCGAGAAGGCTAGGGCATGTGTCACTTGGCCAGTGGCATTCGTCTGCATGGTGTCTACTAAACCTGGTTTGAAAAATTCAAGGAGTTTTCCAGGAGAATTCAAGACAAATTCCTGAATTTTAAGGAGCTACTATCGGAACCCGTTTAACTAATCGCAACCAGCTAATAAATGAAAATGATTATTATTAGGCTATTATTATTATTAATAATGATTATTATTATTTGAAACAAAACATTTCCAAAGAATAATATTTTATACAACATAATAAAACAGTATAACTGGTAGGTAAGGCGACACCAGTTATCATCTCCCGCGATTGTGGGAATATCAGTGAGCATATCTTGCAGTATCTTCAACATCAGCGACAAAACGTCACACCGTCAACGATCACGGCAACACCCGTATTCATATTTTGCGGTTTGGGCGACACCGATAACCGTCTCTCGCGATCGCGGCAATTCCCGTAGGCATATCTTGCGGTTTCGGCAACACCGATAATCGCCTACCGCGATCGCGGCAATAGCCGTGAGGAAATCTCGCGGGTTCGGCGACACCGATAATCGTCTCCCGTGATCGCGGCAACACCCGTGGGCATATCTCGTGGTTTCGGCGACACCGATAATCGTCTCTCGCGATCGCGGCAATACCCGTGTTGAGCATATCTTGCGGTTTTAGCAACACCGATAATCGTTTCCCGCGATCGCGGCAACACCCGTAGGCATCTCACGCGTCTCTCGCGATTGCGGCAATACTCGTGAGCATATCTTGCGGTTTCGGCAACACCGATAATCGTCTCCCGCGATCGCGGCAATACCCGTGAGCATATCTTGCGGCTTTAGCAACACCGATAATCGTCTCCCGCGATCGCGGCAATACCCGTGCGCATATATTGCGGTTTTAGCAACACCGATGATCGTTTCCCGCGATCGCGGCAACGCCCGTAGGCATCTCACGTGGTTTCGGCGACACCGATAATCGTCTCTCGCGATCGCGGCAATACCCGTGAGCATATCTTGCAGTTTCGGCAACACCGATAATCGTCTCCCGCGATCGCGGCAATACCCGTGAGCATATCTTGCGGTTTCGGCAACACCGATAATCGTCTCCCGCGATCGCGGCAATACCCGTGAGCATATCTTGCGGCTTTAGCAACACTGATAATCGTCTCCCGCGATCGCGGCAATACCCGTGCGCATATCGCGGCAACGCCCGTAGGCATCTCACGTGGTTTCGGCGACACCGATAATCGTCTCTCGCGATCGCGGCAATACCCGTGAGCATATCTTGCGGTTTCGGCAACACCGATAATCGTCTCCCGCGATCGCGGCAATACCCGTGAGCATATCTTGCGGTTTTAGCAACACCGATAATCGTTTCCCGCGATCGCGGCAACACCCGTAGGCATCTCACGTGGTTTCGGCGACACCGATAATCGTCTCCCGCGATCGCGGCAATACCCGTGAGCATATCTTGCGGGTTTAGCAACACCGATAATCGTTTCCCGCGATCGCGGCAACACCCGTAGGCATCTCACGTGGTTTCGGCGACACCGATAATCGTCTCTCGCGATCGCGGCAATACCCGTAGGCATCTCACGTGGTTTCGGCGACACCGATAATCGTCTCTGGCGATCGCGGCAATACCCGTGAGCATATCTTGCGGTTTTAGCAACACCGATAATCGTTTCCCGCGATCGCGGCAACACCCGTAGGCATCTCACGTGGTTTCGGCGACACCGATAATCGTCTCTCGCGATCGCGGCAATACCCGTGAGCATATCTTGCGGTTTCGGCAACACCGATAATCGTCTCCCGCGATCGCGGCAATACCCGTGAGCATATCTTGCGGCTTTAGCAACACCGATAATCGTCTCCCGCGATCGCGGCAATACCCGTGAGCATATCTTGCGGTTTTAGCAACACCGATAATCGTTTCCCGCGATCGCGGCAACACCCGTAGGCATCTCGCGAGGTTTCGGCGACACCGATAATCGTCTCCCGCGATCGCGGAAATACCCGTGAGCATATCTTGCGGGTTTAGCAACACCGATAATCGTTTCCCGCGATCGCGGCAACACCCGTAGGCATCTCACGTGGTTTCGGCGACACCGATAATCGTCTCTCGCGATCGCGGCAATACCCGTAGGCATCTCACGTGGTTTCGGCGACACCGATAATCGTCTCTGGCGATCGCGGCAATACCCGTGAGCATATCTTGCGGTTTTAGCAACACCGATAATCGTTTCCCGCGATCGCGGCAACACCCGTAGGCATCTCACGTGGTTTCGGCGACACCGATAATCGTCTCCCGCAATCGCGGCAATACCCGTGAGCATATCTTGCGGTTTTAGCAACATCGACAATCGTGTTCCGCGATCGCGGCAACACCCGTAGGCATATCTCGTGGTTTCAGCGACACCGATAATCGTCACTCGCGATCGCGGCAATACCCGTGAGCATATCTTGCGGTTTCGGCAACACCGATAATCGTTTCCCGCGATCGTGGCAACAAAAGCGGTAGTGTTTCGGTTAGGCGACGATTCCGATGACTGGGCTCCGGATTCCCGGAGGTTTGGGTGGATTCCTGGAGTTTTCCAGGACATTTCAAGGTAAGATAAAATTCCCGGAGGTTTCCCGGTTTTCCCGAATTTCCCGGAGAGTAGACACCATGGTCTGCTTGGGTTCGATTACCGTCCTGTGGGGCAAATAAAGAGTGACCTGTGTTTGTAGCAATATATTACAACCACTGGGGCATAGTGAGGTGTTCATAATTCATGGTTTAGACATACACCTCGAATCATCGGATTGGGGGAATCTTTTAGCTAAGTGGTTGATGGTGTTTCCTATTAATATGCAGGTCATGGCCGTTTTGCTACTTTTTGTAAAGTACCTTCCTCTCTATATCCCTTAGAGGTTTTAGTAAATGCCGATATATAATTGCATAGCACGCAAAGGGTTAAATGTTTGTTCATATGTTACATCTTGTGCCAAATCCGCGGCCCTGCGGCTTGGAGGGCTTGGGGGGCGCAGTGACAAAAGTGATAAAACAAAATTGAAAAAATTAAGTTAGATGTACATAACGTAATTTGGAAAGTTATGTATAACTAACTGAATTTTTAATATTACGTTCTATGCATTTATTGAACAAATACATATTATTTGACACCAATAACTTTATATATTTGCAACGTTTTCCCAGATGAAATATTTTTTATAAAAATGAAGTAGCTAGATTTGCTTGTTTACTACTTTTAGTTTAGTAATAATAGCCTAATAATGGGCCACAGTGGAGTTGAAGGCCCTGTCCCAACTTAATTATCTTAATATAAATCAATATTGCAATGTCGCAGTTTCGCTCTGTAGGCCTTCACACGAATAGCCTACTAGCCTAGTTGCCATGTTTATTCTTATTTCGCCAGACTACCCTCCCCCCACTCACGTCTCTGACATCCTGACGATGACTCACGGTAGAGACAATGACCTTAAATATGCACGAGGTGACGTGTGGACTTAACATGAAAGACTGTCGGGGCCATGGTAGTGGTGCCAATATGGCAGGTTTCCTACAACAAAGGACACATCGTTGTTAAAAATACATCGTCTTGCAACAAAGGAACAAAGGAGTTCAAGCTCGTGTACAAGCAGATTTCCCTTTGGCTTTTTTTATGCCTTGTGGATGCCATAGTCTGATCCTGGTAATTGCTGATGGAGCGAAATCCTCGGTCAAATCTACATCTCTATTTGGAACACTCCAGCGTATATATACGATATTTGCAGGCTCTACAAAGCGTTGGTGTGTGATTAGTGAACATGTCAAGGATCTCACGCTAAAACAAGTATGTGAAACATGATGGGAAGCCCGCATATCTTCGGTGCAAGCTGTTCGCTATCAGTACGTCGAAGTGCGGGATGCTTTGATAAAACGGACGACCCTAAGACAGCGAGTGAGGCTCATTCCTTACTCAACCAGATGGAAGACTTTTCTTTCTTAGTATGCTTAATACTATGGCATGATTTGCTGTTTGAAATCAATATCATAAGTAAAAGTCTTCAAGGGAAAGCCAAAGGCGTCAGTGATGCTATGAGTAAGTTAAATAAATTGCTTGGACTTCTTAGACAAATTTAGAGAAAATGGATACACTAATGCACTTCCGTAAAGGAAATTTCAAAAGAGCTAGGAATACAACCAATCTTCACTGAAACCAGAATTCGCAAGAAGAAACGTCTCTTTTTGTATGAAAGTGCAAGCGACGAAGTGCAAACATCTGCAGAAGACACATTCAAGAGGGAGGTATTTTATTCATTGTTGGATACAGTAGCAACATCAGTTAAAGGTAGGTCCACTGCACTTTATAATCATAACTCGCAGTGGGGATTTTTTTTGTATAACTTGGCTAATCTTCCACCAAAAGATGACTTGAAACAGAGTTGTTTGAAACTAGAAACTCTCTTAAGAAATACTGACGGAATATCAGATATCAACGGCAATGAACTTTTTTGTGAACTGCAACATGTGAACTCCATCTTAGATATCAATGAACCCCAACTTCGGAAAGTTCAACCAATCGACGTGTTGCGAGCAATCAAGAAAACAGACAGCAAAGACGTATTTATAAATCTCTGGATTGCACTAAGAGTTTTGTTAACTACACCAGTGACAGTTTCAAGTGCTGAGCGTAGATTCAGTAAGCTGAAACTTATAAAGACATATTTACGATCATCCATGTCACAGGAGAGACTGAACTCTCTTGCCATCATGACAATTGAAAACGATGAAGCTAGGAAAGTAGACTTCAAAGATATTCTCAAGACATTTGCTCGTGCAAAATCCAGGCGAATGCCATTTAATGTTTAGAGGAAAGGGTCTTATTTCTAAATGTAATAACGTGTTTTTATTTTATTCTGTCATTCCGTATATTCTATTCAGAGTAGGTTTGGTTTGAGGTTTTGCTTACTATTGCCAGGGCCAATTTACCGAATAGGCACGGTAGGCACGTGCCTAGGGCACGAGGCAATTGGCTTTTTTCGTGGGGAACCAAAAAATTGGTTGTTATATTTGCATGCGATGGTGGTAAACTTCTGATAATCTCTCCCGGCACAAGACATCGTTATGGTCTCCCGCGATCGCGGCAAAATTCTGACTGTTTCCCGCTGTTGTGTGGACATAATTAGGCATATCGTCTTCCATGATCGCAGCAATATATGAACATATCCCGCGGTCGTGAGGAGATTATAATAAATCGTGGTAAAATTCTATTCATCCCTCACGGCCGGGTAGACATCATTATTTCGTCTCCCGTGGTCGTGTGAAAATAGTAATTGTCTCCCACGATTGCGGAAAAATGGTAAACATCTCCCACGGTTGTGTGGAGATCATCATAACTGGCTGGGTAGCTGAGTGGTTATAGTGCTCGCCTAGTAATCAAAAGGTCGCCGGTTCGATCCTAAGAAAAGTTAGTAGCTTTTTGATGGTTCGAAACTGGACCCAGCTGTTCCTGATCATTGGGCTTTAAATAAATGATCCTGACTAATGAAACCGCTGATCTTAGTCAGTAACAAAGCTACACAGGTCATCACACACCATTCTACACTCATCCTTCACTCATATTTGGGTTAAAATACGCACCTAGGTGGCGTCCCCATCTCAATAATTGAATAATTGAATAATTGAATAATTGAATCATCGTCTTTTGCGAATGAGGCAAAATTCTAATCCTTTCACGCGGTTGTGTGGAGATTATCATTGTCTTGCGTGATCATGGTAAAACTCTGATCATCCCTCGTGGCCGGGTAGATATAATTATTTTATCTCCCATGGTCCTTTAAACATCACAACCGTATTCCGCGATTGCGGCGAAATGTTCATCATATCCCACAGTAGTGAGGAGATCATCGTCGTATGCGATCGTGGAAAAATTCTGATCATCCCTTGCGGCCAAGGGTAGACATACCATCGTCTCCCGTGGTCACGGAAACGTCACTGTTGTCGTCATGCGCGATCGTGGTAAAATTAAATATCCAGGTAGAAACACAAAAGGCATGCATATTTCCCGGTTAAAATCTCACACACAATTCCCAGATTTCCCGGTCAGTTGACCCTCTCATTAATTTTGATGTGCACTGTTAATAATTAATAACATGTATAGTATTTATTCAATCCGTTCAAGTGTCTGTTGTTGTGCAATTGAAACAGCAACGCAACTTTGTATAACGATCATCACTCAATGTGTGTTTGGGGAGGGGGCGCCTGACAACATCTCGCCTCGGGTGCCAATAAACCATGCGACGACCCTGATCAGCAACAAAGGATTACTATATGCAGGTATTGTAAACCATTTTAAGGATGTGTATTAGGTTCCTAGGAAGATTATTTCACATTTCCACGATATTCTGCAGCCCAAATGTCACGAGATATGTGCATGTGTGAATTTTTTGTGATGTGTTTACCTCTAGGAACCCCGAACTGTGATGGATCTTTAAGGACATCATTAACCAAGAAGTAGCAGAAACATTTTAGCGGCCATGAAATACTTAGAAATTTTTCATTTTCTTAACGGAAATAGCTAGTTACTTAAAGCTGGTAACTAATTGGAATTATTAAGTTGGCTTTGTATGTCTATTTAAATATCTCGTTTATTGTAGAATTTGTTAAACTTTGAACAGTTATATGTGTGTATCAATCAAAATTTTATCAACTCTTGCTCAAATGTTGTGTATAAATTATCATACCACATAGCTACCTCGAGGCATTTTGCTTTTTTGTCTTCACTTTATGTTCCATCATGTTAAATTTTATCATACCTAGGCTACTTAAAAAATCAGGCTACTTAAGAAATCGTTGCTTCTATATTCTATGTTGTTTTAAAATAATATTGTGGAATCAGCCATATAAAAGTTATACGAGTATAATTTTATTTTAAGTTTTACATAGTGAATTACTTACTTTCAATATGTAGTACTTTTAGTATGGTAAAAACTTGATATTTTCAGCTGCCCTTTAAAGTATTTAAATAGCAGATTTTGTCAATTATCCTTCTTGCGACATAATATATAAGTTCCCTTTCCTCTTCAAATCAACTGCCTATTCTGAAAAAGACCATTTTAATTAAATATATACATAGATTGTAAACATTAAGGGAGTTAGTATAAAATAAAAGAATTTACCAAGTTTGATCAAAATATATCCATAAACAAGCAAGCTACAATATTGTACAACACTCTCCATGAGAATAACATGGGAATTACAAAATAATAGTTTTTTGAATTTTCTCCGTAACCAATAATTGTACAAAAACACTTTGATATACCAAATTATTTGTTTTTTAAGCTCTTTAAAAAGGTCTGGAGAGAAATTGGGAAATTTTGTGTTTAGAAGGTCAAAAATTAGAAAAACCAATTTTTACCCCATAAAACCCCGTTCCCATGGTCCGATCATGCTGGTTCGCGAACTCATTCAAGTTTATCCTGCCTTACACCTTAAAACCAAATTTCATCAAAATCGGACAAAAATTACTCAAGTTATCGTGTTTTTGGCCTCCGGGGACATCAAAATGAAAAAGTTAATCGGTCCCGGGCCTAGGTCTTACCATGCCACCTACAGGAATAGCTACTCCCCTGTAGGGAAATTCGCTGAAACTTGGGACATCGTCGTGCCAATGAGGTGGAGCCCAGTCCTGGTTCAACACAGTCTTTCATGTCACCTTCATGTTGGGGAATCAGCCATTGCTCCAACATGTCAGGAAATGTAACATCAGTTATACTTCGACACCGCACAAAAGAATTCAGTTTCACCGAACCTGATTCTAATTTTGGAATCACAAAAAATGTTTGCAAAATCTTCATAATCTGCAACAAGCAGTCAAAGCCCATTCTTGTTACTACAAATCATAAGAATGCAGCGTGGGGATGATCATGATATCCATACGATCAAAAGATATGGTCATTGTGTTACTGCACACTCGGGATATGATCACAATGTCACATTGTTGGACACATTAGTGCTGTGTGACATTTTATTCTTAAATTGCCCACTATTTTCAAAATTTTGTTGGACTGATCACCCAACAAAAAAATTGAACATACTGTTGTGCACGCCTAAATTAGTTGATTTATTCAAATTAAGGGACATTGATTGATGTCATGAGTTTTGCTTCCAAATAGTTGAGTGGCAAGGAAATTCCTATAAACTAGTATAAGTTACTGTCCAGTACCATGACAATTCCTGACACTTGACCACTTTCACTTCAATGCCTCCTTCTCTTGGCCGACGGTATCTCTTCACTGATGTTATCTACATGGTTGTGGCATCATATTGGAAAAAAACCTTGGAAATGATTTGTGACTGTCAAGACTAAGTCTCTGAAGAGTGAGAATCAACTACTTTCAGCTTGGTAAATTTTGTTATTAGTGCTGACCCTCCGACATCATCGTTGGATTTAATGCTGACTTACAATTGAGGGTTTATGCCGGATCCCGTTGTGGCTAGTGCCTGCTAACGTATCTCTGGAGTAGCTTCTCGACCTGTGAGCCCTGGTTGTGAAACCTTGTGATACCCTGTCACTTCGTAATACTCGTGGGGTTCGGTTTGAGTCGGTCCAAACCAGATATTGTAACCTTACTGGACATTGCGGTGAGTTATCTGCTTTAAACAATTTATAGGCTACTTACCATTTGGGATTCTCTACTCTGAACTTGAACACTTTCCCTTTAAGAGTGAATGTGAGTGACCAGCCCTACTTATAGACTCTACTGGACTTCAGTGCCAACAAAGGAGATAATTATTTAAGTATTAAGAATTCTTGATTTTCATTCAATTTTACAGCAAGGCCCTTGTGTAATATATTGTTTAATTACTGTAGCTGTAAATCTTGTGGCATTTTCTTGTAGCTTAATACAAAATTAAATTAAATGCAAACGATCGTAGATTATTAAGTTTTTGTGACAGCGGAAAAATATTTGCACCGTTGTTTTCAGGTAGCCTATAGACTCTAATTTTAATATAAATTACTACGGTTCCCTTGTCACCTTAATCAACATAATTACTGTAGGGCTACCTAGACAGGTTGTAGCTCTCGGTATCAGTTCAAATAGGCCTACTGTAGTTTTTAAAGCGTCCGTCGGTCGCCCCTAATCTATTAGATCCCGCAACATGAAAAATTCCTGCCATTTTTGTTTTCTCGCCCCAAAACTGGTCTTGGCCAGAGTGGTTTCATCCCCTCCCCCCACACACCTAGTATCGCTGTTAAGCCGCGTTTACACCGGAGTTAATAGCAAGTGTTAAAAAAAAAGTTATTTGGTTTTTAACAGAAAATTCCTTGTTATTAACAAGATTTATGTTATCCATCAAGAGTCAGTAAAGATCAAAGGAAATGTGTTATGTTTTTAACAAATGTTAGGTAGTAAACAAAGTTAATGGTCTCTTTTAGTGCACTAACTTTTGTTAATAGGCTAACAGGTCCCTCTCTTCCCTGCAACCCCCACGCTCAGCATCGTGCTACAGAGAGCGCACTAGTCGCCCCTCAGTACCACCTGCGGAGGAAATTCTTTATGCTTCCATCATCGCACCTTAGCTCGCCTGAAAGAGGGTCACTATCGTCTTCTTGCATATCACTTAACATATCACTCCCACTGTACAAAGTCCTTGCTCTGAGTGACGGTTTCACACAGTATCTCCTAGGTCTCCTTTGGGCAGCAGTAGCCAAAACAACGCACGCAGCTGCAGCAAGAACGACGTCATCCTCTCGCACCACTGTCTCATCTAATTGCTGGCTGTGCATGAGCGATGATGATTCAAGATGGCGGACTGACTTTATGTTTTTAACAAAAACCAAAGTACAAAATAATTTGTTAATAACTTTCTGTTATTAACTTTTGTTAATTGCGTAGCCTACTTACTTAACTGAGTGTCCCTAGTTTTGGCCTTAATGTCTGCCTATTTTTTGCGCATTTGCAAGGTTTTATGAAAACGGATCTGAGAAGCTTAAAAACAATTGTAGGCCTAATTATACTGTTCTCCTATACCATTTTGTTTGGAAAATCATGGGCTTCAATATTATACATAAAACATAAGGAACATTTGTTTCAAAACAATTTTTTAGGTAGCCTAAAATATTTTGGAAAATTTTCAAAAAAAAAATAAGTTCGCACTCAATGAAATTGTAGGCTATAAATTATAGGCCAATAAATATTTGAAAATAGCCACTTTGTTCTAAATTTTATGAGGATTCCAAAAATATAATAATATAAGTAAGGAAGTAGATTTGCAAATAAATAAGTTATGGGCAAATAACAGATTTCGGTACATAGCGTTTAGCTAAGAATGCATATGTAGGCCTAACCTAACCATAGCTAGGAATCTGGCTGATAATTTACATCAATATAGGCCTACTACTTCTTCAGGATCATCAACCAGCCCTTCAAAATCGCTTAAATCTTCTTATAGGCTAATGCACCATGTATATCTAACACTAAAACAATGATAAACGTAATAAAACACATCAGTCATCGGTGCGAGGTTAACCAAGCTGTTTACAAATAAGCACGTCAGCTGTCTGCTACAATTAGGATCGGCTCGAGAGAAAAAAGCGCTTAGAGACAAACCTCGGGAGAAAGCTTAGGATCTGCCAAATAAAACGATACCTAACTCGATCCAGTTCAATCCGATTATGTCAGTCATAGAGCCTTCGCCGTAAACAGTGTTTGTGAGTCGAAAAATCGACACAAAACACTACACAAAGTGTGTTATGTGTCAAAAAATCGACACATAACACTAGGAGGGTTAATAACAAAAGATAATTAACTATAAGTTATTAAGTTAACTCCGTCCGGTGTAAAGGCGCCTTTAGCGTCATCTCGTGCACACATGCCTTGTTTTTCTCCGTTATACAATCTGATAAGTTTTAGATACTGGTACAGTGCTACCGGTCCCGTTTTATTTTGTGATGTAACCTCTGTTAGCCTAAGTTATGTATACCGTATCATACAAAAAATTAAGTAACTTACCAGTAACTTTTCATTAATTAACTAAAAAAATAATAAATAAAACTGTTTTTACCCAGCAAAGAAAACGTTGAGTTCAATTTTACATATACAGTGGCACTGGTCGCAATTCAATTTTGGTCGCACTGTATCTAATGGATAGGCCTATTTTAAGGCCTACAAGGATGTGTAGGCCTACAAGAATGTGTAAGCCTGGGCCCTATGGTCTGACAACTTTTTTACTAAATGAGAAATGCTTGGACGATGTGAAAAATATGTGTGAAATCTGTAGGCCTAGGTCAAGAGTGGTTAGTTATTGACTAAGCCTTTTGAGTGATTTTAAGTTAGTCAAGGCTAGACTAAAATGATCAGTGTTAGGCCTATATAAACAGCATTAACAACAATACTAAACAAATAGGATTAGGCCTACTCACATTCCATTTGCTTAAAGGAAGTCTCACTAGTATTTTACTCTCGCTTATTCATGATGAATTACATTCCTGTTCTAAGCCTGTAATTAGTAAAAAAGGGGAAACTTGGTCAGTCATGCTCACCACACCACACGTTATAAAGTTAAACTTGAAATGTGAGTCGTCGGTCGCCTTCTTGTAGTGACTGGACTCTTTCTTGGACTTTGGACTGATGGATTAGTAATTACTGTTGGTTTATGGTTTGGTGTTGTTCTGTTTTGTGTTTTATTGTTCAGTTCAGTTAAGTTCGTCTCGTCTCCCACCGTCTTCGTGAAGTTGAAGTTAGCGGCTCTCTTTTCTCCTTTTGTCATTTCATTTCATTTCCATTTCGTCTTTTCCTTTACAGTCTTTTCCTTCTTTTCATCGGCGCTTTTTCGAATTGTAATAGATAAGGGTTGTTGGTACGCCTGCAGACGCCACAAACGTGTTTTGCAGGGATGTCGGAAACACAATTCAATGACAATACGGTGCGAAATCATGTTTTTACATGAATATAATGTCAATAATACCTTTATAAAACGTGTATAAACGAGCTGAGCTAATTAATTAATGTATTGTAATAGGCATATTTGAGGCAGTATTGTACATTATACGTAGAGCCATGGCTTAACAAAACACGTTCAATTAAAACTCCCAACATAAAAAAGTGCATAATCTTTTTCCTAAACGCATCGTGACCTATCACATCAACTTTGAGATATTCTTATGGTAATATACAATGTTAATGTTAAGAAAAATCCATATCAGTATCAGTATTATTGAATCAAATAATAAAGTATTATTGAGGCAGTCCTGTAAATCACAAAGCTATAGTCAAATATATATTTTTATGAGTTGTTAGCCTCCGGATTACGTTTGAAAATTTATAATGGATTAAATACCTGCATTCAGTAATCCAATGAGCTGCTTGTGGCAACTATAGTTTCGGTTCACAGGGAACCATCTTCAGGCCGTACAAGGCGTCGTTATTCACTTCCATATGTGAAGGTCGTCATTTAATAAATAAGTACATAGAACACGAACACACGAAAACGCACATTGACAACGCACACGAACATTTAACATTAAAAATACCGAGTACTCGCGGGAACACGAGACAGGTGACGCGACCGGGTGGAAGTTGTAGCTCGAACTGGAGTTCGAGTTCGAAGTTGGAGTTCGAGCTACAACTTCCACCCGGTCGCGTCACCTCTGTCTCGTGTTCCCGAGTACTCGGTATTTTTAATGTTAAATGTTCGTGTCAATGTGCGTTTTCGTGTGTTCGTGTTCTATATACTTATTTATTAAATGACGACCTTCACATATGGAAGTGAATAACGACGCCTTGTACGGCCTGAAGATGGTTCCCTGTGAACCGAAACTATAGTTGCCACAAGCAGCTCATTGGATTACTGAATGCAGGTATTTAAACCATTACAAATATATATATATATATATATATATACGATGGATAGGAACTCGCGTCAGGAAAAAGTGCACAATCTTTTTCAAGCCCATTACATAAATTTTGAGCTATTATAATGGTAAAATACAATGTGTAGAATAATCGGTATTATCATGATTGTGGCAGCTAATAGTCTCGTAAATTACAATTATAAAAAGGTATCAACTGACTACAAGATGCGTAGATCCCCGTGCGTAGAACGGGCACACAACTATAGTTTATAATATTTGCATGATATTTTTAGAATACTTATCTGCCACGGGACTTTGAAAGCGTTAAGTATGGTAAAAAAATTGTCGTAAGTTAATGTTTTAAGTTGATGGCATTTCCTTGTGTAATATAAATAGAAAAGGGAAAGGGTTACAACTAATTTACTTTTCTAACAACTGAGGATAATGCATATTATTAGTTGAGATTTGAGATAATTAGTTTATGAATGTTAGTTAATGAACTGCGACAAGGGATTTGAGGGCTTTTAGATAAATTAGATAAATATTCTGATTTCATTAAATTTATCCAAAAATTATTAACTTACAATTTTTCACAAACAATTATTGCTGCCTTTAGCAGAGTTAACCCTCTGGAATGATACAAATTATTTCTTGAAAATAACATCGACAAAAGCAAACAAAGAGGGTATCTAACCTGATTAGAGAGGTAAGGGGTGCATACGATTGGGTTCCCCCTGGTTCCCAGAAGGCTCCGTTAAGACACTGAATATTAGGCCCCCATTGCCACAAAACTCTTGGCACGGATCACATTACACCTTAGTCTAGGGCCCCATCACTTGGTTCTGTATGTGGACCAACACCCAGTGGCAGAAGGTAGCTCTCCGCAAACAAAGAGAGTGTTTTTACCCAAAATATATAGTTTACAGGTATGTCTAACCTGACAAATAGAAAACTGCATTCTGAGTTTGTTTAATTTTTACAATAATTAATATGTTTTACATTTGAGCTTTAACAACAACAAAATCATACATGCGTGGGACTTGCACCAATCGATTCGGAATTTAATAAGGAATTCAAATATATAAAACTCAAAATCGAAAGATCCAGACAAGAGGTCTCTATCCGCTTTCCACATCACATATACATGTAAAAATATTATTATACACCGTATTTGGATTGAATTGGTTTTCCAGTATCCCCGCAAAACACGTTTGTGGCATCCGCAGGTGTACCAACCGGTATTTATTTATTTATTTTACATTCCAATCCAACGGACAGCTGGACGCTGGACTGGACAGCTCCATTTTGTTTTGATATTTGGTTTGGTAGCCTACAGTTTAAGAAATAACAAACAAGACTTGCTTAAAGCTAGTTGTTACTTGTTAAACAATAATGATGAGTGAAAAACAAAGAATTAGAAACAATAAATAACAAAAAAAGAAGAGAAATGGCAAAAAGACAGCTGCAAGCAACAAAATGAGTGAAAAAATCAAAACAGTTACAATACAACAAAACTAATCTATATAGGCCTAAAGCGTTACAATGAATATCAATAATAAATTTGATTTGATCGGTATCTATTACTATTATTATTCGAAAAAGCGCCGATGAAAAGAGAAGAGCCGCTAACTTCACTTCACGACGGTAATTGATTGAAATTGCTATTAACTGTATGTGGCCAATCGCTGGGTTTGTTGTTATTCCTGTGTGTTAGTTAAGTTTTTTTCTTTTTTTCATTATTTTCAGGGTCTATAAAAAAAACATAGTATTTTGATAAGATAGGCTAGGCCTACAAAGTAATAGTTAAGGCCTAGGCCCTACATGTTTAGTAGGCCTACCATTACCAGATCAACACAGAACTTACTTTGTCCATAAAAAAAACTACAACCGATCAGAGAATGGTATTTTAGTAGGTAGGCCCTAGGGTATGTGGAGATGTTGACCAATAGATGTCAAGGATTTCAACAACTTAGCCTAACCATGGATCCTATTAGGGTTAAGAATTATAATCAGCTGAACAATAAAAAATTTGATTTGTTGGTGGCAACTAGTTTCGGTTCTTCTGAACCATCATCAGGCCTCAAGGTGTCAGGTAGTCACTTCATTCAAAAGTCGTTAACAAATAAGTTGAAGTTCAATAAATAAAACACACGACATAAGTTAGAACGGACATAAATGTATGTCCGTTCTATGTTATCATTGTAGCGGTTAGCTACGAATTGGTGATGATTTGTTGATTAGGCCTAATTAAGTGTAGCCACATTATCATTAATTTTGGAAACCAGATTAACTTAAAACCCTTAAATTTTACCAGAGGACACAGCTTACCGCGAAACACAGGCCCAAAAAGCCAACTTTGATGATTGCTAACAATTAAATCATTTCTAGTATGGAATGAATTACTATCCTTTCAATTAATATACTAAATTTACAGATTAAGGTGACTGGACACATGAACTACATACTTAGGCCTATTAATTAAGGAAATATTGTCATTGAAATGCCGACTCTGCAAATTAAGTTAGGCATTGTTAATAATTGAATCATCTTGTGAGTTATTAGCCTTGGGGAGCGAGCTGGCGTAGTGGTTAGAGCGCGGGACCATTATTGACTATACACCTCTACTAGTAGAGGTGTATAGTCAATGGCGGGACTTAATTCCCTGAGGTCCCGTGTTCGATCCCCGCCAAGTCACCAATGGATTTAATCTAAGTGATAATGCCGCAACCCCTAGGTCTAGCCTGAAGTAATGTGAAAAACAATCCCAGGCTCGTGCCTAGTGACAAAAAAAAAAAAAAAAAAAAAAAAAAAACTATTAGCCTACACTGCTTTTAAGGCCATCCTAATATAGGTCATGGTATTTTATACAATTTTGTTTAACTTAATTTCTTTTAATATTCATGTGACTTTTATCCTAGATGACAAGGCCCAAAAGAAAATCTCATGAAATGATAACCCTTCAGAGGAAACGCAAGAGAAAACAACTGAAGGAGGAGGCAAATACAAAGAACGGAAGAGAATTGGGGGTCAATCAATATGATGAGATTGGAGAATCAAGTTCAACAATTTACAATAAACTAATCAATAATTCAGAGGATAATATGTAAGTTATGATTGTTTAGCTAGTCTTCTTTTTGTCTAAGGCCCAATTTCACCAAACACTTAGCCTTAAATATATATATATATGTGTGTGTCCGTTAGCACGATAACTCAAACAAAATGATCTGATTTTCATGAAATTCAGCAAACCTAAGTACCTACTTTTAAAATCTAATGTTATTTAAATAGGGAATAAACAACTATGTCTTATTTATGGAAATATTATAGTAAAAATGTAATCAGACAAGTTAAAATTAATTTAGTCTGCAGGTTTGCTGCAGGGGGGGTTGTATTGTGTACAATAATGTACCATAATTTTGCCATTTTTACGATACCGGTATTTAGATTTGCGTTATAAAGAGTTGGCAATATGTTTTGCATTTGTGTCCTGACTGCGATCAGGCGACTGACACGACACATCGTATGATTTTAATAAAGCTCCCGGATTGGCTACAACCCATCACACGCCACTTTTGCCAGGAGCCATGTTTAACCATCGATCCAAAAGTTTCCTTGCTCTCCAGTCCTCAAGATTCCAACAACCATAAGCATGTAGTCAGCCGGGTTTTATTTAATTCCCCAAATGGTGTTTTTATTTCAATCATTGCACCCCAAACGTTCCAGGGGGGTATATTTCCATTAGGGTCAACCCATAGGATATCCGATACGGATGATGATTATCACAGGATGAATTGAATATCATCTCTTAAAAGATAATGTCAAACAAAACACAAAGCCCCAAACCGAAAGAACGACTCTTAACCCCAATAGGCCTATTTTAGATTTTAAAATATGTAGCCTAAAATAAATCAATGGTTTATATCTATATACTATTATAAAGAAGAGGTGGTGTCTGTGTGTGTGTTTGTATGAGCTAATCTCAAAAACTACTGGTCGGATCGGGCTGAAATTTGGCATGATGATAGCTCACATTCCCGATTAACATATAGGCATATTTTTATCCCAAAAAATCCTTCGGGGCTCCGCCCCAGTGGCTCTGGAGTTTCCCATGTTAACCTTATGAGAAATGGAATTAATGAATCTTAACAGCTGTTTCAATTAAACAAGTTGGTTATGTTCTATGATGTTCAATAGCATTAAAAGTTACAAGGATTACCAACAGGGTGCAGCACTAGCACTATTATTTCTTTTACATTTATGACAACAGCAAAAGGTGAGTGAGCGTAGCGAACGAACTTCAACCTGGAGGCGAGTGAGCGTAGCGAACGAGCTAACCTGAAGGCAAGTGAGCGTAGCGAACGAGCTAACCTGAAGGAAAGTGAGCGCAGCGAACGAGCTCCAACCTAAAGGTGAGTGAGCGTAGCGAACGAACTTCAAAAAGAACCGAAATTTCTTAAACCATCTCCTCACTCATAACTGCTATAAGCATTTGATACTTATATGCCAACCCCGTACGAAGGACGGGTACTCTGCTAGTTATTTTATAACCTTATTATTTTTAATCAGTATTTTACATTATAAAATGCTTGGGAATTGATAAAAGAAAAGAAAGCCAGTACATCTCAGGTACTGGGACAACTGACTGTCAGCTATTGGTACACACACTTTTTTCACTGTCAGCCACTGGAACAGACACAAAGTTTAAATAAATTTTGAAAATTTAATTAAATACATGTTATAAACCCTTTCCTACGACAAATTTGAAAACTACCTACACAACATTTTGAGTCACCTGAAATCAGTAATATTGTTTCAGTTCCTATTATTTCAAAACCACAGATTATTAAGTGCGAATAGTTTCTTATACCGTCAGCTACTGGTGCATTTACCTTAGTTAATTCTTTGTTTGAAGTTCATTGTTGGTGATGGTGAGTTAATGTTGTTCAAAGGTTTATTGCGGACATTTTCCATCACTAGCCTATTGTAAAAAAAACCAATACACAACGTTTCCCGTCCTCAGGTGAAAAAACTTAACTAACACTTTACAACTAACAATATACAAACGCCCAACCTAAGTTGGAATACACTACAGAGGGTAGCAGTCAAAAAATATGCACCGTATAGCAGTCAAGTCATGATACAACATGCAAATAATAACCAATCACAAAAGACTATAATCTATAAAAGGTGTAACTTAAAAAGCTCACACAATGGAACACTAATAGCACCGTTCGCAATGACTCCACCAATGAGACTGTCAGATTCTATAGCAGAATCTTCTATGGTCAACAAAAAAAATAAGGTCTAAAATAGAATTTTAGACACTAGCACATTCTGTGACTGGCTCACATAACTACATTCGTTTTAATAAAACATTTGCGACAGCTGGTCCATATAGATGGTATGTCTGCTTCAGTATCCAATAGTAAATTGAAAACATAGAAATTGTGACACTGAATTTTAATGAAGTTGTTTATGTATAGGCTACATTAAATTCAACTAATTTGTGGTGATATTTATTTCTTTCTTTGTTATAGGTATGAACAAGTAAAAAGACTAACAAATGTTAGTAAACAAACTGAACGTGTCAGAAGATACAGGTAATTAAAAAGAAATTTATCAGTAGTTGTTTTAATACGCTACTGTACATTTGAAATAAGTAAATTTGTTTAATACTTTTTCCAACTAGTATTAAGATATATTGATAAAAATATATCTCATAATCATTTTTCCTCTTACTTTCTTCCTTAAACAGGTTCACTAACAGCTGTCACACTTTTATGTATGTAATCTCCATACTCCTGGCTGGTAGTGAATGTGTTAGCAGGGTCACTACCGGCCGTACACTTTTCTGTATGTAGAGTCCTCAGACATCTGGCAGTGAATGTGTGTTTGACCTGTAAAAATGGGAAAAAGTATTTTTTTGTCAAAATATTGGTTGTAAGGTGTTCTGTATGTAATTTGAACAAATAATAAATGTATTTGTCAAAGTACAATTTTAATCAACTTTATTCAACCATAGACAAAAAGAATGAAATATAGACTGTCAGCCGTGCTGCGGTTGCCATGGTTACCATAGGTTCCGGCGCACACCGCTGTAGTTTACGTAGCGCGTACGCTGTAACTACCGTGGTGCTCCAAGCGGTGTGCGCCAGAACCTATGGTAACCGCAGCACAGCTGACGGTCTATATTTAATTCTTTTTGTCTATGATTCAACATAAATTAAAAACAAAGTGAACAAGTAAACATTTTAAACAGCTGATAATAGTTAATGAATATATAAGCAAGTAAAGGTAGACATTTAGGATGTAACACCTCCCCTTCTTAGTGAGTTTCATAAGTTAAGTCTATCAACTGGTTTATGTGTCCGTTTTGATCGTCTCACTGTCATAGCGGAAGCTGGTGCCACTGGAACATCTGATAAGTTGTTACTGGTCTCTGGATCATCTGGTATGTTGGGATCATTGGCCTCTGGATCAATGTTGTGATAATTTGTTACGTGGTTTTCGGTTGGTTCCTCTCTGACTCCTCCAAGATGTGTTGGTATGAATACTTGATTTTGCTCATTCCTTAATGAAGACTCACACAAGTCCCGCCCTGAGCGTCTAATTTGGTCTTGATGTCGTCTGATTGGGCCACTGCTTGTGGTTATTTCATAATTTCTTAGTCCTTCTTTTTTGTTGATCTTTCCAAACCCCCATTTGTTGCAGGTTCCATAGCGGTAGGCGACAGGGTCTTGAGCTTTAAAGGACTTTTGCCTGTCACGGTCTTGAGCTTTAAAGGACTTTTGCCTGTCACTATCTTGAGCTTTAAAGGACTTTTGCCTGTCACTATCTTGAGCTTTAAATGACTTTTGCCTGTCACGTTCTTGAGCTTTAAAGGACTTTTGCCTGTCACTATCTTGAGCTTTAAATGACTTTTGCCTGTCACGTTCTTGAGCTTTAAAGGACTTTTGCCTGTCAATATCTTGAGCTTTAAATGACTTTTGCCTGTCACTATCTTGAGCTTTAAAGGACTTTTGCCTGTCACTATCTTGAGCTTTAAATGACTTTTGCCTGTCACGTTCTTGAGCTTTAAAGGACTTTTGCCTGTCACTGTCTTGAGCTTTAAATGACTTTTGCCTGTCACAGTCTGAGTCAAACATTCGGTTCATTTTTTGTGACAAATCAGGATACAATACGTCAAGTCTTGATCGAATTTGACGTCCAATGAAGAGATGTGAAGGAGATTGTCCTGTAGTACTATGTGGAGCTCTTCGATAGGTCATTAAATATCTCTGCAATTTTATTTCGATAGAGCCTTCCTCAAAGTGCATGGCTCTGATGGTATCTTTCAAGTCTTGCACATAGCGTTCTACTTGACCATTAGTAGCAGGATGGTAAGGTGCTGATCTCTTGTGTCTAATTCTGTTTGATTTAAGAAATTTTTCAAACCCTAATGAAACAAATTGCCTTCCGTTGTCGGACACTAATATGTCAGGGATTCCAAAGGAGCCGAAGAATTTACGCAAAGCCTCAATGGTTTTATGTTAATTTATAGTTGTAAGTGTTACAATTTCAGGCCATTTACTGTAGACATCCACAATTAGGAGAAAATAGTGGCCATAAAATGGTCCAGCAAAATCAACATGAATTCTTTGCATAGGCCTTGAAGGATATTCCCAATGGTGAACTGGTGCTTTGGGTGATTCATGCTGTACTCGTTGACATCCCAAACAATTTAAGGTCGTATTCTCAATGTCTGCATCAATTTTAGGCCACCAAACATACAAACGAGCTAGTCCCTTCATGCGAACTATACCCACATGAGCCTCATGAAGTTCTTTCAAAATTCTTGCACGAAGTTGTTTGGGAATCACCACACGATTCCCTTTTAATAAGCATCCAAGCTGGATTGACCATTCTTTTTCGTTAGAAGACATCGGGTGATGGATTGGGTCCCCTCTGATTAGTGATTGATAAATATCTCTAAGATCTGGATCAGATTGTGTATTTTTTGCTATTTCTTCAGCTGTGACAGGTAAAGTATAGATTTGTTCTATTTCATGAACATCGGCTGAGTCAATAACAGCAGCTTCTTCAACATTTTTAGGTAGTCTTGAAAGTGCATCAGCATTAACATTTTCTTTGGTTGATTTATACTTTATGTCAAATGAAAATGCCTGAAGGAATATAGCATAATGTTGTAGTCTTGTTGCGGCCATAAGTGGTATTCCATTTTTTGGTCCAAATATTGATACCAGGGGTTTGTGGTCTGTAACTAGGGTGAAATGACGTCCATAAAGGTATGGGTAAAAGTGTTTAGCTCCAAAATAAATTGCCAGGGCTTCTTTTTGTATGACACTGTACTGTTTTTGTGTTTGTGATAGTATTTTGGAAGCAAATGCAACAGGTCTTTCGTTTCCATCCGGAAACACATGAGAAAGAATTGCCAAAATTCCAGATTGACCAGCATCTGTTGCTAGAATGAGTGGTAAGTGTGGGTCAAAATGGCATAGTATATTTATTCTCTGACATCATTTCCTCCTTCACCAATTGAAAATCACGTTCACATTCTTCAGTCCAATTAAAAGGTACATTAGCTCTTGTGAGATTCATAATGGCTTGCATCTTTTCACTTAAGTTTGGAATAAACTTTCGATAGTAACTTATCAACCCAAGGATTTGTCTAACTTCTTTCACATTACTTGGTCTCTTCAGGTTTCTTATTGCTTCAGTAATATGTTTACTTTTACTTATTCCCTTTGACGAGACATGGTAACCAAGAAAGTCAATCTCTGGTACAAGGAATTGAGATTTAGAAACATTAATCTGTATATCGTTGTCTCTGAACTGATTTAATACAGCACGGAGTCTTTTCAAATGTTCTTCCTCACTGTGGGCTGTTATTTTGACATCGTCAAAGAAACATCAACACCATCAATACCTTGTAGAATATTTTCCATTGCTGATTGCCAAATAACAGGTGCACTTGCAATTCCGAATGGTAGACAATTTACTCGATATAGACCTTTATGTGTATTGATTGATTGTGAGCAATTCTCTGTATTCTTCTTTCACTGGCATGTGTAGGTAAACTTTGGATATATCAATCTTTGTAAATTTAGTCGAATTACCCATTCTGGCCAAAATATCATCAATGCATCATCAAAATATCATGTTGTGTTCTGGTATTACCAAATGGGGATTGAGGGTTACTTTGTAGTCTCCACACAGTCTGATATTCCCATTTGCCTTCATAATCGGTACAACTGGAGTAGCCCAAGAACTCTGATTCACCTTTGTAATTATACCTTCTTTTTCTAGTTTGTCGATTTCTGCACTAACTTTTGGTAACAAAGCATAAGGTAGTGGTCTAGCTTTTTTAAAAACTGGTGTAGTGTCAGGCTTTAAGTTAAGAAGTGCTTCTCCCCCTTTGTAACTTCCAACTCTTGGTTCAAATATGGATTTAAATTCCATTAAAATATTATGTACTTTGGGATTTGAGTGTTTAACTCGATTCCAGTCAGCTCCGTGAACGTTATTTATGTCTGACCAATTTATTTTAATCGATCTCAGCCATTCCCTACCAAATATCGTATCTCTGTTACCATCGACTATATACAATGGAAGATATTTGGTTTGGTTACCGTAAAATGGGGTGAATAGAAACACTTTTTGACTTTTAAGCTTCTGTAAAACCGATATTTTTAATTTTTAAATTTTCAACACTAGCTCATATTTTCGGTCTTGAACTCCTCTACTCAAACCAGTTATCAATTTCTTTTTCTTTTCAATCATTAAGCAGAAAAAAAATAATATATGGCTGTTTCTATTCACCCCGCACTTTGGGGTGAATAGAAACACTGTGTTAAATTGATGATTGTTGCTTTTCCTCACTTACCAGGGGCAATAGAAACATGAAATTTATGCTTGTTAGCTTAGGTTGTTGTAAATAAAAATATTTAAAGTTAATTAACACATTTATTTATAAGTACGAAGTATAAAAACGTCGTTTTCATAAACCCTTATCCAAACAAATCGGAGAACATAAATGACAATGGGTGAAATCAGAGTAACAAAATGTTACATAGAAACCAACTAAATGAAGAGTAAAATCAGACAAATCTTCCTCAAAATACAACGCTCCATTAAATATACAAGTTGTACACGGCTTGGGAGTTGGAAGCCGATCGTACTACGTCATCGACTTTGAAGAGGCCCTCTTAATCTGTCTCTCAGAACTTGTTGGTTTGTGCAATTTTCTTGATGAATTTTCCTATTTATCCTTCCTCGTCAAATTCAATAACTTTTGCAACATAAAAACGATAGCAAGTTTTGTTTTCCCCCATTACTTTGACAATTACTAGATCATGAAGGGACAACTTTGAAGACTCACTGATGTCTTGAGCTAGGTATGCTGGTTCTTCTTCATCAAATTGTTCGTCTTTGTCACTTTCTTCCAGTGTGACTGATATAGAATCATCTTCATCTCTGGTATTTTTTTTCTTTTTTGGGGGGTTTTCTGGGCACCACTGGTTAAAAAAAAGTGTTTCTATTCACCCTGGTTTTGCAAAATCATGACATAACCTAAATTAAAAATAAAGTAAAAAAATATAGTTTATTCTAAGGCTAATCTATTAATACACTTGGTTTTAAGATACCTAAGACAATATAAAAAATGGTTATTAACATAAATACATGTAATAGGTTCATACTTAGAGAGAAAGTTTTGAAAAGAATGTTTTTCGCCAAAATTTTCAAATGATGTTTCGCATCATCCAACATCCGAAGCAGTGATACCAATATGCTAAACTAATTTTTCCTAGGTAGATAGGATATGGTTATAATGGGGGAAATTAATTCCCTTATATAAAGTCAATGTATAACAAAGTTATAAAAATGTGAATCATTCATTGAAGTTTTGTTTCTATTCACCCTGTTGTTTCTATTCACCCCATTTTACGGTACCGTAACCAAACTGAACAATGGTTTTACCCAATGGAACAAATTCATTTTTGTTGAAATATCTTAAGATTATGTCTGGATTCATTAAAGGTCTGTGTTTTGGAAAAAAAACTTGGAAAAGTTACTTTTTGATATCAAAGATACCCCTGCTCCTGTATCTAGTTCAAACGGAATAGGTTTCCCATTTATTTTTATGTTTAACATAATTTTCCTAAATTTATCTTCTGAGGTATTCATAGAACAAATGTCAATAACATTAGTTTCCTTATAGAGGGATCCAAAAGAATTGTTCATATTTTGTTGTAGAAATATTTCACTTTGATCTTTGAACGAGTCTGTTGTTTGTTTTACATTTCTTGAAGTAGTGTTAAATGTAGACTTAATTTGTCTTTGAAATTTGATAGGTGTATTAGGATTCCTAAAACAAATCTTTGCTAGATGCCCTGTTTTTTTTACAGAAGTTACATGTTGTATTTTTGTGTTTGCATTCAGATAATTCATGTAACTCTCCACAACGGTAACATTGTTTAAGATTGGTACTGTTTTTAGGTTTTTGAAAACTTTTCTGTTGTACAACATTTAAGTTAACCGGCAATTCATTGTTTTCATGATTGAATTTGGATTGGATTGTTATTGAATCTTTTTGAGCCTTTTCAATTACTTGAGCCATGTCTACAGCTTTTTCAAAACTCAAATCACTTTCACTTAGTAATTAATCTTGTCTGTATTTTTTCATCCCTTAGTCCGAGTATGAATTGGTTTCTCAGGGCTTTTGACAGAAATGTGCCGAAATTACAATATCTAGACAACTTTCTAAGATCCAATGAAAATTCAGAAACGTTTTCTCCTTCATTTTGGCGTCTACAATGAAATTTGAATGTCTCTGATACTTCATTTGGTTTCGATGTAAAATGTGAATTAAGAGTTTGAACTAATTCAACATAGGATTTAGTTATAGGTGATTCAGGATGCAATATATCCCTAAGTTTACTGTAAGTGTCTGATCCAATACAGTGAAGTAACGTAATTTTCTTTTTATCTTCCGAAATGTTGGCAAAGTCCTTTATTCAGCCAGATTAACAATACATTGCATTGGCCAAGTCAAGAGATTACATTTATTATGAAATTAATGAACTACTAAACATTATACAAATTGTTTTCTTTTATGTTTAATAATGTTGTTTTCTTTTATGTTGTTATAAATGAATGCTATCTCTAGTATTTCCATATACATTTCCCCATGTTTCATATCTTTCATTAAAGGGTCCAATCAATGCTGAGTTAATCATTTGAATGTTTTGAGAGGTATTTGAATTACTTGTACTCACATCCATCGTCACCAAATTTTTCTGTATGTAATTAGAACAATTAATAAATGTATTTGTCAAAGTACAATTTTAACCAACTTTATTCAACACAAATTAAAAACAAAGTGAACAAGTAAACATTATAACCTGCTGATAATAGTTATAGAATAAATAAGCAATAAGTAAAGGTAGACATTTAGGATATAACATAAGGCATATTTCTTAAAAATATCAATTTGGTTCTCTCTGAGATAAAAAAGTGGCTACCGTACCGGAGTAACACCTCTTGTTTGTTTAATAAGGAGAAAGGAAGGATACACAACTAAATTACCTCAATAAAGAGTCCCAGGAGGTTAATAGGACACATAAAAGTAACACAATTTAACTAATATCTCACCCCTTTCAGGGGCTTCTTCAGAGGTAGAGTGGCAGTTACTGTTCTAGCACTGTTTTTAATGTCTGTCAGGCTTGCCAACACTTATCTTGTGTAAACTAAAAATTATAAACTCTATATACACATATATATTTACACCATTGTTTTTACTATACTGTACTGGCATTGGGTACATTCCAATTTATAAATCAGATTTTCTGAGTTGCAGTTGAGGTGTCCTTTTTTTCTGTTCTGTCCATTGTGGAAAGCTGGAGAACGTTTCTACTGGTTTGTGAAAGTTGCAGGATTTGCACATTTTCTCATTACTAGGGATTTTCTGTTGGGGATATTGAAGTGTCGGGTAGTTTAGGATGAACTAGTAAGTTTTTTTAAATTCTGAGTTTGTCTATATACTACTAGGGATGGAGGTTTTTAGAGAAGATTATTGGTTAGGCTCGAGGATTTTGAAGCCATTTCAGAAGAGGGTTTTAGAGATTGTAGGCCAGGGTGATAGTTAGTTATTAAATTTAGGTGTTGGTCTTGGTTGTTCTCCTTCTTTCTTTTCTTTTCTTCCTTCTTTTTATTCTCCTTTTTGTTGGATTGTGCTGCTTGTATTTGGGATTGTATAAGGTTCCTAGGGCAGCCTGGGGTTTCAAACACTTTCTGCAGCTGATTATTATATGTTATTTTATGTACTATTATATGTATGTTTTTTTATTTTCGTGGTCAGAAATTAGGCGAGTCCCTCTTGAGGCCAGGCTGTAGGGGATGGATCTCTTTGTGTAGTTGGGATGATTTGAAGAGTTGAAATGGTGTTTTAGGTACACCCAGCCGTTCTTTTTTTGTAAGGCTGGGTCTGAAGACTAACTAACCTTCAATGTTTTTTTCATAACTGTGTCTTAATCTTTGATGATAAGTGATATGGAAAGCCTTTTTACTTGTAAGTCTCTACACAGGAAATATATTTTTTCAGACAAAACATGTCAGAAGAGAAGAAAGAAGAATTGAGAGCTATTGCTCGAAGAAAACTAGCTCTAAAAAGGTATTTATTATACTTGCCTATTACAAATTTCTTCATAGTTCCAAATGGTTGTTAGAATCCAAGAGGGAAGCCTATTTCAAAAGATTTGGCCTTATGTTGGAGAAGAACGGTTAGAAACAGTTTTACGTCCAGAACATAATCCTGTTTGATTGTTGGTTGCGCTGTGATCCAATCCACAACGGTCAGTTGTGAGTGATGGAGATATTTACCACCTCTAATAACAACAGTAACTGACATCAATCTTCTTGCTTTGCTCGGACATTGGTGGTCTGAATATTTGTTTAGGGTACTCTACATGTTAATTGTAATAAAGCTAGGACTATTGTTCAAATCCCAAGTTATTGCGGGTGTGATACGACTCTTAACAGCAAACAACATCTTTTTTTTAACAAAAAGGAAGTTTACTGACCTAAATATTTTGACTTCAATAGCTGAAAAATCTCCAGACATTAAAATCGATGGGGTTTTCATAGTTGTCAGTTCTAGAATTTTAAAGTCTAAAACTATATAAATTATTTGCCAGCCTCTTTTAGTACAGTTTTATCATAGGATTTGTGTTTTGAAATATTATTTATGAAACCAAAATGTAAAAACATGACATTATTTAATTTTCAGAGCAAATATGTCTGAGGAAGAGAAGGCAACAATCCGAGCTGAAAACAGATTACGGAATTCTCTGAAAAGGTAGGCACTGTTATGGATCAGGATAAGTTACATTACTGATATTGGAATGTTTATCTCCAAAAATACTCAATTGTATGTTCTAGCAAGTTCCGGCCCTATATTACGAGAATTAACAGAATATACACATTAAAAAAAAACTATTTAGTAGGCCCATGATAAAAAATATAATTTATTTGTAGTAGATATCCGTCCATATGGATTAGCTGTAACCAATGGTCTCTTGAAGCAAACAGTTGAATGAGACACACATCTAAATTCTGTTTTCACCCTTTGGTTTGTTTATTTGATAGTTGGTATGACATAAATTGTGCTATAGCTTACAATAAGTCACCCTTTCAGTTTGCCTTGAGTTGATATGCTATACAGGAATCAATACTGTAGAACCTTGATAATTCAGCTTGATTCACAGCTTCTTTGCTTGTTAAAACTAGCAAAGAAAAACCAGTTGCACAACATGCCTTATCCCACCAACTTCTATTTGATGACTGTTTCACCATAAAAGCTCTAAAATCATTGCCAAAGAACCAATGCAATAGTTCAATGCTCAGAAGATGGGAATTAGCTTACCAGTTTGTGACCAACTCCAGAACCCCACCTAACCTCAACATTAGATAATATCCTCATATCCTCACCCTCACAGCTAACTCTTAAGTATTTATTTTCATGGACAAAACTAATTTGCTTTTCAATGTACATTTTATATATAAATACAATATTGCAATGTGCCTGTATTTAGTGCTTTGTGCAGTGTCAGTTGGACAACCTGTCAGACATTTTGAATTCAAACTGTGTCATCCTATTTAAACTGTTGTTTTGTAACTACCATCTAGGCCTACTTCTGAAGAAGCCTCTGAAAGAGGCGAAATATTAAGTATATTATGTGTGTGATTTTATGTGTTCTTTGACTCATCTGCAACCTTTCATCAGGTGAGTTAGCTGTGTCCTCTCCATCCTATATTTATTTATTTAATCCAAGCTAAATGCTTTTCCCTAAAAACATAACCTTATTGGCTTATATAGTATCTTTGACTATTAACTAAGACATTCCATCCTCATGTTAAATTTGTAGCCAGTTTTTTAACCATAATCGTCGTAGTTAATGTGAGCCACCGACAGATTGTGCTGATCTAAATTACTGATTTCTGTCAAATACACAATCTTTATAACAATTCTAACTAATGGAATGACTTATTGTAAAACATTGGCAACTGTTTTGACCCATCAACTTGGCCAGCAACAAAAAATAAGGTAGAAAATAGAGTTTTAGTCCTAGCGCATTCTGTGACTGGCTCACACATCTACATTATTTTTTTATAACAAAAAATTAGCCACAGCTGGTCCATATAGATGGGATGTCTATGCACTAGATATTCTTAATTTTAACAAGTTTTAGGGAACATCAGTTTAGGGGAATAACCGCTATCAGAACTGGCGTCGGTCTCGTGGAGTCCAAATCAGAGAGTCGACTATAATTCAGTCAAGATACAATACTTCCTTAATCTCTCAACTCCCTAAACATTGGCGATGGGGGGTTGTCCATCAGTTGAACCTCAACACATTCTACAAGCTCTGTAGTTGTTTTTAAACTTCAAATATGCAGTGCACATTTTATAGGAAAAAATCTGTTTGTTATCTTTTGGTTACAAAACAGTGTTTTGAAAACACCTGATTTAAAATTTAGAGTGTCACTCGAAGCACTTCCGTTAAACTGCAACTGGCTTAGTCAAGGCTCCAGACAACCACAGCTCTACTTTATTACTAAAAAATTAGTTTCAACGCTGTGGTGGAATATTTGAATGACAGACACCTTTTTCAGTAACTCTGCTGTATTGTAACGGCATTAATGTTCCATGTAGATAGTAAGTTTTACTAAACAGTGTGATTTTATTTCAGTTTCTTTGTTTTAGGTATGAACAAATACAAAGATTAACAGTTGCTAAAAGACACACTGAATATGTAAGAAGATATAGGTAACTATAAAGAATTGCTATTATTTATAGGCTTTTCACTTAGGTCTCACTAGCTGTACCCGCGGGCTTTGCCCCGTTTAACTTCTTAATTTTCAAGAAGAGCTCGTTCGCATGGCTCTGATTTCAATTGGTGCAGATTCGATAAAAGTGTAATTTATTCAGATGTTTTGCCCAAATGGGAAAATAACTTTTATAAAACTGTGAGTTGTATTTTTTATTGCCCTTTAAGACAAAAAAGTTGTTTTTGGAGTTGTGTCTACCTGAGCATGTACAGGGAAAAAATCCTAAAACCCTAGGCTATGTTACATCCTGGACCTTATACAGAGCTAGACTCTATGTCCCGATAGTTTTCTCATATTTGATTACAGGTTATGTAGATAACCATATTACTTATAACTCTTTACAAATTACATTATTTTTTCCAGACAAAACTTGTCAGAAGAAAAGAAAGAAGAATTGAGAGCTATTGCTCGAAGGAAAATTGCATTAAAGAGGTATTCTTGTCGTTATAAGTTCTAATCTGCACTAGGGTTGATGAAATTTTATACATTACTTTTCATAAATGTCAACATATTTGATCTTACCTTCGGAAAGTAATTAAACAAATACTAGACCTCTTTATGACCGTGGGTAAAGTGTCAGTTTAAATTTTAATTCATCAAGAAGTTTCAATTCTAAATTGCTGAATGTCTTGTGATCCAATCCACCCACATCAAATTCAAAGGTAGTCACTGTATTACTACCTTTGACTATAGTATTGATACAAATTCTCATTCCATCCCATGATAAAAATGTTGCCAGTTTTTTCTAAAGAAATATCTGTAGTTGAGATTGTCCACTAAAAGAGAATGCTGATGTAAATCCCAACCGTCCAACCAAGTCTAAGGCTACGGCCACACGGGCGTTTTTTCACGCAAGAACGCAGCGTGAAAAAACGCAAGAAATATGAGCAGCATTAAATTAAATGAGGTATGCCACACGCAGTGTGTTTTCCCGCAGTAGCGGGCGCCTATTTGTTTAAATGCTACTCTAATTTTTCGCGTGTTTTCACGCTGCGTTTGTGCGTGAAAAAATCGCCCGTGTGGCCGTAGCCTAACTAATAGCACGAGTTACTGTAATCATCATATTTCAGGTATCACTAAACCATTGACGAAGGAATTAATGCGCTGCCTGCAGCACCCTCTGTCGGCAATTAATGTTACCGAATTTGTAGACTTTCACTCTAATTGCTATAGAAAGAAAACTTTAGGAAATAAATTAATAATTCTTTCACCATTTTGTTCACAGTAAAATTGTCTACAGAAAAGTGGTAATTGGATAGTCAAAGTGTAAAACTAAAAAAAAAGATTATTAAAACAAAGATTTTAAAAACAATTTTTTGAAAGTAGACTTGATTTGCAAATTCCGAATATTACAAATAATCCAGACACCAAATAACACTACTATTATAGTATTATAAAGTTCAATTGATTCAATACGTAGAAAAATCAAAAGTTGTGTACTTTTATAAGTAATAAAGTAGAAACAAATTTGTTTGTTTACCTCACCGCAGCTTATTTTTTGTGATATCTGGTTACCATGGCAACACAAAATTGATTGTTATTCGCTAAAATAAATGAGTAAATACGCAAATCAAGAGGCAAGATATTTATAAACATTATAAAAGTAATAAGAAACAAAAGGGGGGGAAAGTAATAATAATTAAATAACTAGTGACGCTGTGTAGCGGTGACACAAGCGGCACTCGTAAGTCGGCCGCTGCACGCTCGTAAGTCGGCCGCTGGGCCTGCAGCGGCCGTACAAGTAACGCTTGTAAGTCTGCGCTAATGGGGTACCTCAGTTAGGAAAACTAAGTGAGAAAAGGGATTTTTAGACTGTAGCTCATTTAACTAAAGTCTTCTGGAATGCAAAATTGGTGGCAGTTAGATGGGATTTCTACTTCAATATCCAAAAGTCAAAAACTAGCTTTTGTAAAAATCAATAAACTGTTACCTATGTGATACAAGTATTTACAGCAAACAGTTCATTTTCATAAATAGAGGAAGGCTCACTGTCCGACTTTATGTAAGTTATCTGGCTGAAAAAATTTTAATGAATTCTGATCACCGCGATAATTATTAATAGACTTTTGGAAATCCAAAGTAATATCCTTCCATGCAAATTCTTTTCATTCTCTTTTAGATGGTAGAACTTTTGTGAATTTTTTTGCACTCTTTTATTGTTTCTTGGGGTTTTCCATAGGGGTTAGGTAACTTTTCAAATACTATAAATGAAACCAAAATATAAAAACATCTTATAATTTCAGTAAAAAAAAAATTAATGAATAACATTTTCAGAAAAAGTATGTCGGAAGAAAAGAAGGCAGCAATGCGAGAAGAAAATAGATTACGAAAATCTCTGAAAAGGTAGGCACTGTTACAGGTATAATGGTTAGGCATTTAGAATGGTAGTTAAATCATATTGTGCTTAACATTGTTGTAAATTAGGACATTTAAAGTATTTTCAGTAACAAAAGTCTATAAAATAAAATAGGCTATTTTGAATAATCAGTCGATGAGGAAGATTCCATGTTTCAGTAAAATTATCAGCACAAAATTGCCATTTTAAGATATATGTTTAACATAAAGTTATTCTATATCATTTTGTTGTGACTGTTGTGAGAGAAGATCCCTCCTTCTTTGAGACCTTAAGATTGCTATTGGATGGGTGTTGCACAGTCAAAACTAGAAAAAAATACATGAAAACGTGTGAAATTTGATCAATCAAAGTTCGTTGTGAGAGATGGAGGGGCTTTGTTGGTGTGGCCAAGTATCTGCTTATATTCATTCAAATATAAATTTTGGTATCTGCATCTACGGAGCTACAAGTAAAAGAAATTTGGATAGGCTTTTAATTTTACAAAAACGAGCATTGAGAATCATATTGGATATTAAATGGAGAGAGACCGTCAAAGAGGAATTCAAAAAAATTGGAATTATGACTGTATACAGCATGTATATATATGAAGTAATTTTATATTGTAGACAAAATTTTGCAGACTTACCTCTATTAGGTGAATGCCACTCCTACAATACAAGAAATAGGGGTACTATTGCAGCACCTGCCCATAGACTAAGTCTATATGAAAAGAAAACTACCTATGCTGGAGGTAAATTCTATAATAAACTTCCTGATCACATTAAGAAAGAAAATAATTTTTTCAAATTTAAAAAACATTTGAAGTACCACTTGTTGTCACTACCTCTATACTCTTTAGAAGAATACATGTTAAATTAGTGTTTTTTATTTCTATTAGACTTGATTTCTTTATGTTAAGTTTTAGATATAGTATTTGACGCCATTCCATGTACTGATTTATGTACAATATGAAATAAAGACGATTTGATTTGATTTGATTTGATCTCCTAAATATGCTTGGCCCTTTACTCAAATCAAATTGTTCAGGCCAACACTCCAGTCCTTAATTATTTTGAACAGTTGGCTCTCAACTGTAGTTAAATATTTGGATCATGTTACAGAAAAAACATGTCTGAGGAAGAAAAAGCAGCTGAGAGAGAGTATCATAGGCAGAGAATGGCAATGAAAAGGTAAGATAAAGATCAAGTGGATAAGATTTGCCACAATTTTTGTTTACTTGTGTTGATTTCAAAGCTACAACTTCATCATGCTTTTTTGATCTTTGCTGAAATAACTAATTATTAATTTGATGAATATGATTTTATGTGTCCACACTCATGACCTAGATTATAAAGATTAAATACTAAGAAACAATTAAAATCGGAACAGTAAATTAAGGAATCTTAATTGACAACTTAATTCTAAAGTACAGTCTTGAACGCCTCAGAAGCTAATTAGTGGTGTCCTGTAACCATACAAAAGTATGATCAGACCCTTAACAATGTTTCAGAGAGAACATGACTGATGAGGAAAAACAGGCATTTCGAGAAGACCAGCGGAAGAGAATGGCCCTCAAGAGGTATGTCTGTTTGTCATTAAAACAGTATGAAGAATGTTTTAATAGCCCTCTATTACTTGTAGTGCGTGGAACAAGTGTAAAAATCTTTCACTTCCGGAGACCAGCACCATACTTTGGGAATCGACTAAATACATGTAAAAGAGTGAAAATCAGCCGGGAGGCAAGCTTTAAAATAATTAGGTCACGGGCAGTGACGTCATCAAAATGGCCGCTCAGCCAATAATAATAATGTCGCATATCTCGGAAACCGCGTAACCGATTTTGACGCATGACATCTTATTTGAAAGGTCTAATTATTATCTATGAAAAAGGTAATTACACCTTTAGCGGTTAAACCAACGATTTCTTTGTATTTTAGAAAATATTAATTTTTTACGCCCCACAAAATGGATTTTTTGGATTTATCATTTGGAAAAATTAAAATAATCAAAATTTACTTTCCACCATTGAATCCAGCTTTAAAAGATGAACAATTTAGTATTTTGAATCATCGCTCTATGTATATTGGTTACCGAGATATTGAAAGTACTAAACACAGAACACTCTGTCCCCCATGTTATCCTTATGGGAAAAATAACATTCTATATCTCAGTTATTTTTTAACGTATCTTAATACAACTTGGTATGTGGTTTCACCTAGTTGAGCTACTTGATAATGACTATAAAATATTTATATTTTACATTTACATGGCAGCAAACCTACATACTCATTTCCCATGTTATTCATATGGCGAATTTATGCATGATTATTTATAAACATTGTACTGTACTTTCTCAGCTTTTCCTTACTTTACAGCTTTAGACCTTTTCGGGAGTTTTCAGGACACAGATTGACTGAACACTTGTAGGAATTATGATACATTTATTATTCTCAGAACTGTTTACAAAAACTATTGACAAATGACTTCTATTTCGAAACCCCATAGACCAGGGCAATCTATTAGGCGGTCCCTTGACGTCTTGGTCGATCGGCTCAAGACCCCTCTGTCCCGTTTTGCTGTCCTGGGTTCCTCACGTTGGTTCTCCTTCCTGACGCTGTCCCGTCGTAGCGACTCACAGAGGTCCTATCGACACGGCTCCTGCAGTCCTCCAACTGGCTCCGTCTCGGAAAATGCTGAGTGGGTTACTATCCCAAACGCAGCAGCTACCGTCGGTGTTGCCCGTTCCGTTGGCAGATGCAGACTGCCGTCTCTCCCAGACAACTCTTTCTCTTCTTAAATAGGTAAGGTGGGCCTCTTCATCCTCCTCCAGACGGATCTATGGTCCCGGGAGGCAGCTTTTTTGGCTACCGGGGACTTAAACTGAAATAAAACAGATGCCGGGGCTCAACACGCCAAACAGCTGCACCGGGCTCAAGACGCCTCTAGTGCAGGGTGTACCGGGCTCAAAACGCCTCTAGTACAGGGACGGAAAGCACCGAGCTCAACACGCCTCTAGTGCGAGGTGTACCGGCACAGACAATATAATACTTTAATGGTTTATTCCATTGTCTGTGGTACCGGGCTCAGCACGCCTCTAGTACTGGGGTGTACCGGGCTCAGCACGCCTCTAGTACTGGGGTGTACCGGGATCAGCACGCCTCTAGTGCGGGGGTGCCGGGGCTCAACACGTTTCTAGTGCATACCCCACCGGTGGCGCCTACCGACGGGGTCGGGCCCGGAGGCCCAACATGTCGAAGTCCCCCAAGAATGCTCCTTATATAGGGTCGTAACTCGTAAGATGCTTGGAGAGTGGGGGTAAGTACCCAGTATCCACCCCTGGCCGAAAGTACTGGGCACTTTTCCCTAATCACTTTCCCTCAGTACTTTTCCCTCGGGTCACTGAGCACCATTCCTCGGTGCTTTGGTGTTTTAGCCCATATTACATTACCCAACCTTGGGCTTCCTCAACACTTCACTACAACATATGCTGTCAAAACTTGACATTAAGCGTAATTTTAATTAATTATCGAAGTATTTTAAATTCCCTGAGTATGCAAGTTTTTAGTATTTTGCAGGTGGATTTTATATCAAATGGAGTGCAACTTAATCTTGTCTTGAAATAGTTCCTGCCTCCGTCTGAATTATTTCGGAATTTGTCTGGGGGAGATTCTCATCCAAGCATATAATATCAAGGCGTGGTTTTTTTCTTAGAAATTGAGACGAATCTTTTGACACCTCAAACGTTGAAATTGGCCCACAAATAAGGGAGGAGTAGTGTTAACAAAAACGGCTTCGCGTATTATATACAATAAATATATAATACATTTTTTTAATTTGTTAAAGGGAAATAACAGAGACGCCAAGCCGTATTTCATACTATTCTTCAGTTAAATACAAGGATTAAATAAACAGTCTAATGCTATGTAATAATATGTTTAAGTGAGGAATCCACAGTCCAAAGCCTGAAATGCATACCGTACTACTCTTCAGGTAGGGTAGCCACAAAAAAACAATCCATAACTGTGTTTTGAAAAGCCCAAAAGATTTTTACCCCAAAAAAAAATACTATGAATATTATATTCTTTAGGTAACCACTTTAATAATCTAAACGATCAATAACTATGTTTTAAGAAGCACAAAAGACGTCAAACCCTATATGAAAATTACTAGAAAAATGTAAACTCAAAAGAAACAAAAACAACACGTAAGGATTTTATCACGTTTCTTGTTTAACAATTGCGACAAATTGCCATCAGATCTCTTAGTCTGACCAATCCAGGAAAAAAATATTTCCCAAAATAAAATTACTAATATTTATAAAACCCCCGTTGCAGTAGACCTGCATACTCAGTGAATTTCAAATGTTTAGATAATTAATTAAAATTAAGCTCAACGTCAAGTTTTGTCAACATAACCTGAGAAAGTACAGTACAATGTTCATAAATAATCATGCATAAATTCGCCATATGAATAACATGGGAAATGAGTATGTAGGTTTGCTGCCATGTAAATGTAAAATATAAATATTTTATAGTCATTATCAAGTAGCTCAACTAGGTGAAACCACATACCAAGTTGTATTAAGATACGTTAAAAAATAACTGAGATAAAGAATGTTATTTTTCCCATAAGGATAACATGGGGGACAGAGTGTTCTGTGTTTAGTACTTTCAATATCTCGGTAACCAATATACATAGAGCGATGATTCAAAATACTAAATTGTTCATCTTTTAAAGCTGGATTCAACGGTGGAAAGTAAATTTTGATTATTTTAATTTTTCCAAATGATAATCCAAAAAATCCATTTTGTGGGGCGTAAAAAATTAATATTTTCTAAAATACAAAGAAATCGTTGGTTTAACCGCTAAAGGTGTAATTACCTTTTTCATAGATAATAATTAGACCTTTCAAATAAGATGTCATGCGTCAAAATCGGTTACGCGGTTTCCGAGATATGCGACATTATTATTATTGGCTGAGCGGCCATTTTGATGACGTCACTGCCCGTGACCTAATTATTTTAAAGCTTGCCTCCCGGCTGATTTTCACTCTTTTACATGTATTTAGTCGATTCCCAAAGTATGGTGCTGGTCTCCGGAAGTGAAAGATTACTAGGTAATATGTTGCTTGTTCCACGCACTATTGGGCCTATTTTAAATGATAAAATAAAATAATTACCTTAACCAACCACAGTTGTTTGTATGACGATTAGTTTAGTTCCTTAGAACTTTGTCAGGTCATTAGTATGCAACCACATCATCAATGTATAGACATATATTGTGGTATATTGATAGATTCTTTAAAAGGCTGTCACAATAATTACAATTTGTTATGTTGAAAAACAATTAAAATGGAATAAAAATGATAAACTGATTAAAACTGTACAGGCTGGCCAGTATTATTATTATGTTACTGTACAGGCCCCCATCACACTTTTAAATTTTAATTTGTCCTTTTTCAAGATTTTCTATAAAGGTTGCACACTTGTCATTATTCATTTTCATTTCAGGCAAAATATGTCTGAGGAAGAGAAGCTTTTAAGGAGAGAAATTGATCGCCATAGAATGGCCATGAAAAGGTACTGAAAGTGTCTAATGTTTTGTATCAATAGATTTTACTACAAATAAGGCTTTCTAGATAATAACAAAGGTTTTACTACTAGGTACTAGAATTTGTCAGTGCCACCGCCCGTCATAAGTGTGCTTTTACTCTTAGTACTTAACAAGCCCCTCGACAACTATAGTTATCTCTCTCGTTCTCTACTCAAGAATCAAGAATCAAGAATTTTTATTCATCGTTAACGCTATGTACAACACATGCAATGGATGAACGTCATAATAGTAGCCTAAAGTTTACAGGCAATAAGGCTAAATAAATATAGACAATAAAATATAAACAAGTGCAGAGTACATGCGAAAAGTATCACAGTCATCTTAAAACTCTTTCCCACATCTAAAGTCTAGTCTAACTCGCAATACTTTTACACTTATCCAGTGTAGTGTTGGAATTGTGTCTCATCAAAATTGTAAAAATCTCCTGTGATCTCAGGACATTGTCATCCATCACCACTCATTATAAGGACTAGTGATGTGTCAAAACCGAATCTCAAATCTCAAAACCATCAAAACTTTAGAAAAGTTTCGGTTTCGAGATTCGATCACCGAGTTTCGAGATTCAAAAGTTTCGAAATTGAAGATTTTGGCAGTTTTATTCTTGAATCTATTGGCACTTTTTGCATTATTATTATTATTTTTAACACTGTTTCCACACTATCTGATAGCAATTGAGCAAACACAGTAAATTGTATTCTGAAATTTCAGAAAGAATTATGTTGGTATGGGTTTATCAGTCACATATTTATGTTATTATGTCAGTGTCAGGAGTCAACCTCTTACAGTATTGATTTCATAAAATTTGTTATTATTACCTGTATTTTTTCTGTAACCTTAACCTTTGTAACCAGCTAAGTAAAAAGGTTTCGCGTTTAGGTTTTGAGATTCGGGATTCGATTTTTTCAAGTTTCGGTTTTGGTTTTGAGATTCGAAATTTCTGGTTTTCACCATCACTAATAAGGACATCATGATTACTGACCACATCAAATACATAATACAAAACGAAACATATACGAAAACAACATTTATGTATTTTGGCCAAGTAGTCTGAACACGAGGTGCATAACTGGTTTACGATGAGAAAGAAGATTGAAAGAAAACGAGAGCTTGCCCCATGGTCGAAAACTCAACCTAAAGTATGTAATATCCAAACTTCTCTATTTTCAACCCACGCTGTAAATAAAACATGTGATTGGAATTTGATTTAATTTTCTGTTGATATTTTGTTGTTATTTCTTCACCAACATGACAACCCATAAGGCCCATGTTGATTTTTTTAAAATTTAAAATTATTTTTTTGCTCTTATTTTTGAGCCTATTTTAATTTATAAAGGGATTCTGCACATCTACAGGAAAATATCTTTCATTTGGTACCAACTGCGTGTTTTTTTTAGTATATAAGATTCCTGAATTCTGCTCTGCCGTGTTTCCCCTCCCCTCATGTGAACTATTTGACTATTAGAATACAATTAATCCCCGTGAAATAATGCTTATGTTTTTTTTTGTTTTCTAGGAAGGTGTTTAAAGATGAGACAGAAGGCTTCCAGACTTCAGTGGTGAGATTTAGACGTGAGAGGTAAGACGTAATCCATAATGCAGTGTTTTATGCTAAAAAATGAATAGAAATAAAACGTTTGTACAACTCTTAATCTTATCTTTTATTTTTACAAATGAATTACTACTTCCTTTATTTAAACTACAACACACGGTACGACTAACAGTTAGATTTTATTTTTGAATAAACGCCCATTTTTTCTTTTACTAACAAGTAAGTAGATTAGAATGATAACTTTTGTTAAAACCTATGCACATTTTAAGCTAAACCTAGGCGTCTACAAGGCATGACAGTATAAGAAAACTGTTTTCTAACAGAAAAACTGTGTGAGCCTAAAAGCCAAACACAATATTGCAGAGTTGTTTGACATCTTCATTTTACATTCCGAGCTGTCTGACCGTGCTTTTGATTCTGTCCGATTGTTTGCCACTCATCGGAAAGTGGTATATTGGAGTGACGTTTCAATATGATATATGATTATATGCTCGGTAAATCTGCACACGGGTCAATGTAGGCTATGTACAGTATTGGTTTTGAGTGACATAAATGATTCTAAGAACAGAGAGAAGGTATTGAATATAATCTATGTCCAGAACGTGATTCAACTTAAATCAGACAAAAAAATTTAAAAAAAGTAATCTCATCTGTCAAGATCAACTTTGGAGACGTTGGGATATCCATGTAGTTAATAGGATAGTAAAAAAAATAGGATAAAAATAGTAGGAAAGAAGCCAACAATGGAGACATACAATGGAGGCCTCATACATCATTCAATAAATGTTCAATAATATTTTAGTACTTAAATTGATATACCTGAGGCGCTACTTTATATTTGACAATATTTTTGTACCCATGTACATGTAACGAAAATAAAGATGTTTTAAATTTGAATTTAAATAAGATCAGCTTTAATCAGGGCCATTTTATTACAAATCTGATGATCAAGAATATCAGACTTATAATTATCAACTGAACACTGATTTGTTTGATTTTTTTCAGGCAGAGATTCCCTCCTAAATCAGTGGACTTGGAAGATTCTTCTGATGACAATGGGACGAGTGAAGACATTCAAAGGTACCTGAGTCTTACGATGATCCTACTTTAGATGCTAGTTAATGTTAGTTTCATTCAACTAATTTCTACTTTGTTATAGGTTTCTTGCCATAACATTGAAAACTGAACTACATAGTGCCAACAGTACTTCCTCCTAAGTCATGGATTACGTGTGTTATTTTGATGGTTCGTCTCTTGTATGAGTAAGATAAATTTACAGTTTTATATAAGCTTTGTTTACAAAAGACAGTTAATGTGTTTTAAGTTACCCGAGATAACCAGTCTGCTTGCTGGCCTTGTTTAAACACGGCTTCAGGATCAAATGTTTTGAAATATACAGTATTATAAACTGTACGCTATGTAATATTGTTGATGGTCACTAAGTTACATAATATTGCATTAAATTATCCGTTATAGATTTAGCATTTAAGCTGGAAAACATTGTTCAAGGGGTTTCTGTCTGGTGCGTGTGGAGAGTTGATGTTTGTTACTTATTTTCTGTTTAACCGACTTAAATTTTTGTAAGTTATTTATTATGCTCGGATAGTAGACCTATAATTTGAGGACTAAGCTCACAACGTAAAATATACCTTTAAACTGGAGAAAATAATTGAGTCAACCTCAGTGTGCTGTTGTGAAACACAATAATTTATATTGCAGACTATACAATTGGGTAAGAAGTGTATGTAACATCTAAAACCAATGCTTGGATTTACAATGGTAATATCCAATATAAGTATTTTCTCAAACACTTTAAACATTGATCTTAAACTATAGTAGCCTGTTTTAAACTAAACTTGTTAACAAAGACTCTCAAAATTATGTTAACGCTAAATTACCTTTCGGTTTATTTACTTACTGCCTTGGCATCTTGTACCCAAGCTGGTACTTGCCTCGCCAACACGTCGCCAGTTCTCTCGGTCCTCCGAATCTTCCTCTATTAGTCTCATTTTTTCAATATCTTTCCGGACTTGATCCCACCACCTAGCCTTTTGTCTTCTTACTGGTCTCATTCCCCTCGGATCTCCTCTTAGTACCTTCTTCAACAAGCTCTCCTCATTTCTCCTCAATATAGGGTGGACCCACCTCAACCTTCTGCTTTTGGCCTCTCCTACAATATCGGGGTCTCGTGATGATTCTCTAAACTCTTTTTGGCTTATACAAAAAAGATCTGTGAAAAATCCCAGCAATTTAAATTACACAATTTTGGAGTAATTGATTCAAGCACACAGTAAGAACAATAAATATAATTAAAGGCATCTATTGACGCCTTATATGTCGCCTATCCATTGTAGATGTTTTCTGAACCGACCGTGTCCAGTAATCAGTTCCACTGTTGGTCTAATTCTTCGCCTATCCAGCCCTAGAATGCCCGTTTTGAATGTGTGCAAAGACCTTAGAAGGGGCTGCTTCAGCCATGGCAAGGGAGATGCCTTAGAAAGGTGGTGGACCCAACAAAGATGCTGCCGAAGCAAAATTGCCAGTCTCAATTCCTGAATGTCCACTCAAAGAAGCAGATCATTCCTCCAACCCAATACTGACACGGAGGCAAGACATTCCCGCACGAGTGAGTAAGATTCATTTGAGTTTGAGAGCTGTCAAAGTTGCACTTTTAGTATAAATACAAATTCTGTTGTCTCTGATCTCCTAACGAGATTTTCTGGAGCACAAACCAAAATAGTAGTGTCTTCCTCTTGGATAACTATTGGGTGTACTCCCATAGGATGCCAGCTCCTTCGGGTATATAACCACGCCTGCACCAGGACCTCCCAATCTTACCAGTCCTTATAGTTCTTATACGGATGAGCCTCTTTCCACCAAGCCATTCTTCCCTAGTTAGTATGCATACTTAAAATGTTATGCCATAGAAGTATTTTTTTATAATTAAATAAGTTAATAGAATACTCAGCAAACACAAAATCCCAATTTCATTCTTGATGTGTTTTGAGTAACTTAAACAACCTTAGTAACTTAACCTTTGGATTAGTTTTTCATTTCAAAATATTTATTACAAATTTTAGCATAAGTTAACAAATGACTGGTTTTGTACATTCCAGTTCCAGTACAAATAATAAGTGTATAGTTGTATTAACTAATAAGTCTGCAAAACTTGTATTCAATTGTTGCCAAGTTAGGTTTACTGAGTTGGAGAGTCAATGTAGGATTTAAGTTACCCACCTAAAAAAGGAATATGATTACGTTGTTTTTATATTTATGGCTTTTGTATTGTTAATTATTATGGTATTTTGTTACTTTTTATTGTTATTTGCTGTTAGCTGAGACTGATTTATTATGCCATTGACGAAGTTTACATTTATTTGAAACTTGAAGCCCCCCATACATTAGACGATTTGGTCATACTGTTGATGGGAGATTAGATCTTCAGCAACCTTATTGCCTAAATATCGCCCAATGTGAGTGTTTTGATCGGATTGCCAGCGATTTTGTCATCCCCACCTGATTGCTCGATTTTCCCTGGCAGTGATTTGGAGATCCTCGGACGACTAGATTGCCAAGTTTGTGGGGCAGAACAATTGAGGAATATTCTCCCGGCGAATTTGCACTGATTTCTGATTGATGTGTCATGTGAGTTTTAGGTTTTGCAGAACTTTCACAATGACATCACAAGCTGCTGAAATTATTGTTCCTAAACTGTGTGAAGAAATTTCAGCAGAACACTTTAAATCTTCAAATCTCCTGCCCGCAGCTATAACGTAGCTACAATGCATTCTTCTGCGCTGATTGTCTGCACTACTCAAGTGACTTCCATAAAAAGGCTCTACTAAACACAGGAGGTGACGTAAATGATTTTCAGATATTCCAAGGTAGTTTTTGTAATGGTCTGGATTTTCCTTACTTAATGACCTTAAAAGGGATACGTCACTAGACCCCAACTACACACCCTTTCTTAAACCACTAATTTTGAGTCTATTCTCAAAATACTTTTTGTGCCAAACCCTTTGTTCTTTTAATTTCCACAACAATGAACAAACACTATTACAGCTACAGCAGCTTACCTCTTCATGCTCCGTTCTCACACTGATCAATTTAAATTGCCACATCGCATTGCCTGACTGATAGCTTAAGCTTGGGTAAAAAATGTGTTTCCAACGACGATATGATTGCCGGCAATCTAATCGCCCATCGACAGGTGACCAAATTGCCTTATGTATGAGGGCTTTATACAGATGTTCAAGTTTGTTGTGTATTAATGTTATGTGTATATGCAATTAGATTGTGTTTTTATGATCAGTGTTACCATATTAACAATAAGTAGATCTACTTAGTTTTTTGCCATACTATTTATTATAATTTCTGTTACAAAGGTGTTCAAGATATAATAAATGTTATTTTATATGAAATAAGATTTGTGGGTGAAAAGTAATTATTACCGAATACTAGCACGGTAGAGCCTGAATATACCTTAGTAGTCAGAATCTTAGCATTCTTTTCTTACAGTCCTTTCACTCTACACGATCTCGCCTGGCCGGACAAATATTTGTAGTCAACTGATTGAGCTTATGAGAATGTTCACTTCACATTGCCGGGTGACAAATTATTACCCGGGTTGTGTCCAGCTGCTGCCACTCTAGGTTGGTGCGTATGTTCCGGCCTACACCATGGGGCCCGGGTATATTAAATTATGAGGTACCGGGTTGTAGTTGAGGGGATTCGGCTCTTACGACACAAACAAATGGAAAAAAATACTGCCACTGCCCAGGGAAAAAACGGGTCTATAGCTCAGTGGACTAAGTTACCAAAAGAACGCTTACACACCACCCAGTTTTTAGTCCTGGAATGCATTTCGTTGTGTGTAGTTTTGAGCTATTTTTTGTATACAGTTTGAATTATTTAGTTATTACAGTTTTGTTTTTACAGCCTAGTTTAAATTATCAAGGTGATTGGCCCTGAAGTTTTTATTGAACCAATCAAACTAGTATTTGTAAATTAATTTTTCAGCCCGGACGCTCACCAAGACGATTGTTCAACTATAGTTCTTAACCTAACCTATTCAACCATGCTTTAGTCACAAGCATCTTGTTGTGAGTTTAAAATCTGAAAAATTTAGTATGACATATCTGTCGGTCCAGAATACAGACCTTATCCTCCATCCAAAGTTTACTCAGGAAAAATCAAAACCAATATGTTAAATATATATAATTTAATGAAAAAATGCAATAACATTGGCCATAGAAATCACATCAATAGAGCACCTTTCAAAATGTACAAATCTACAAAATTATGATCAATACGCAATGAGTTGTGTGTGCTTTTTCTTCACAAATAAAAAAATATGTTTAATTTGTGCAAACAAAACGTTTTAATAACACAAGTCCTTTGCTTAAAACTAATTTCATACATAAAATCAACACTTAAAATTATACAAGTTGTCACAATTTAAAACTAATAGGATGTTGTTTAGCTCTATTTCAATAGGAAATTAAATCTTGTTTTGTTTTTACTATTTGTAGACATGTCTGTCTCTACAAACCCTATTTAATCACACAGTAGGCTTTCTGTATAGGAGCTTTTCACTTAAGAACAGAAAAATCATTCTAGGATTTACAACTACTTCTTTTTATACAGTTCAGCTTTGTACAATAAATACAAGATTTGACATGGCCTGCAACTAATACAAAATTGAGATAGTTATTCACAACAGAATAACTCGAAGTGAGCTTAACATTATGTATTCACTAACCTGCTTCTAACATTACTAAGTTCAAAGGTAATTTACAATAATACTAACACAGCCAAAAATATGCATGCTACAATAAAAGTTTTATCAAACCCGTGTATTTGTGTTAGAAATTACAATTTGTAGTGATTTGTTCATTATGCTACAGATTTCCCCAAAAGTGATGTTAACTTACTATTTTTCTTTTTTCTATTTTTTTATTATATTTTTCAAAGACCATTTGTCTGACTTCTACTAATAAAATGTTAAAAACTTGTATGAATTTTAATCAATTTTTCCTGTTTATTCAGTTCCATAATATTTATAACTGAAATTACTCTCTTTAAATATGATAATTTTTATATCTATACAAAGCACGAGTTACAGCAAAGCATAAATGATTTGATAATAATTTACATAATACAAAACTAACCTAACAAATGGACACATTTTATGTACATCAAACAAAATCAACACAGTACACTGTCCGATATATCACAATAAACCATGGGAATATATAATACACATCATGTATAATTAAGATCCTGCTAGATATAATGGTGAAAAATTTCTGCGTTGTAATAATTTACAATTTTTTTAGAAACATATCATCTTTTGCGTTTTATGAATTTCACATTTCTGTAAACAAACTTTACAGTTATTTTAATGATTTACCAAAATACAAAGCAAGTCTGAAGATTATAATACCATACCAGAAGTACTTATAGTTAGTTCTCGTTTAAAATTGCTTTGCTAAAGCATGTAAAAGATTATGGTGTAGCAGTGACATAAATTCACCCTTATGGTAAACAAATGTATCAATCCATCCCTCCAATACAATTTTGCAATAATTTCTGTATAATCTGTTTTACACAATATATTTAAGCTAAATATCCCTTAATATTCAGGCTGCCTAACATGTTAACTGAAGCTCTCGGTTTCGCTGTGGACGTGGATAGTTCACCATCAGAGGGCGTTGCTAACGGCCGTACTATCGATAATGGAGTCTCGGGTCGAGCTGTATATCGTCGTCGAAGTGCGCAGTCGTTGCGTCGGGCAGGATCGTCAGATGTGTTGCGTCGGACTGTAATGTAGAGCTTTCCCCCACTCCTCCGCCGCCGCCGATCACCTTACGCTGCAAAGCCTGGACGTAATTCTGTCATTAATAACAATAAACAATTACAATAATGTTCATTAGGAAGGGAGGTAAGCAGTAAATGAAAATGGTGGTTAGTGCAAGACAACGTTTTGAGGGATGTTAGATTCACGGAAACAAGAAAGTTTTGTGATTAAACTTATGGAATATTCAGTGCTTAACACGTTCAGTACTGACTACATCAATTAGCGCTCCTATTGGCCTATATCAATTGATGTAGTTGCGCAACCCCCACTACATTAGTTCAGTTTGAGCTCAGCAATTGCAGGGGAACGTTAAATCGTTGCTAGCCTGTAGCTTAGAATGTGAGCTTTATTTTGGTATATAGTTTGGTACTAAAATTTGTAGAAAAATCCCGTCTGACAATGCTTTCGTCCCGGTGTCAGGGATTTTCTCTCTTCAAGCCACATTACAAAGCCACTGACTACTGATCCAGGCAGTGCTGCTACCTTTGGGTGTTTTATGGAACTTTGTCCAATCTCGGGGTAACGTAGTACAATCACCGCTGCTCTTTTGTTATTCGTCAGATTGAAATATTTGAATGCCAATTGCGTTCGCTGTTACGGTGCCACGCCGATTCTTCGCCCGGGCCTCGTCGCCATTGACAAGCGCCTGTTGGAATGCCTGCTGCGCTGAACGTTTTAACAGAAAATTATTTAAAGCCTAGAAAAAGTGTTCTACTCCAAGTACCAACTGCGGTTTTTACTGGTTGGATTTGATAATGAAAAGTGATGTTCATTTTCTACCAATGTTTGTTCTTGACTGTTAACAGTTAATGGTTGTTAAAAGCAATGTTTGACATATTTCTATCCGTGAAACTTAATTTTTTTTAATTAGTTCTGCACCATTTCTTTTTAGAAACAAATTTGTCAAACTTAAAATCCACATTTTCAAACTTAGCTTAATTTATTAATGACCTCCATTTCTGTTATCATAACTGTTTCCATGCTACAAACTCGCTTTAGTGTGTTCTATGAGAACTCGTTCAAACAGATATATATTGCTATTCCTTTTTACACATTGCCAAAGTTTTACTTGGATACTGGAATTAAAAATACAAGATTAACGTATTTAATCCTGCAATTGGGTACAAAAAAAGCTGAGTGTGCTGAGATACAAGATCTTGTACCCCTTAGGCAGTTTAAACATTTTTAACCAATGGATTAAAAAGGTCTCACTGTTCAAAACAATTAAAAAATACAAAAAAATATTAAATTACAATTTTAATCCATGCCAATTAGTAAAATTGTCAAGTTCTGTAGGCCTACATTAATTCATATGTTCTTTAAATCAAAGAAATTATAAATTTAAGCCAGCGGAATGATATCATGCATTTAATTATTATAAACGTGTTTCCAATGAATGTCCTTAATGGTTATTCGAGCTTTCTGCCAGCAGATAATTAAGGTTAGATAATTGTACTATTATGAGGTTAAATTTAATTCCCTTTTATTATGAATCTAGTTCCTTCAGCTTCACTGCAATGGGGAAATTTATTTAAAAACCCCCCATTTCGGATTGGAATTTAATATTTGTTTCACATCTTAATTAAGTTTAGACTCACCTGACTTATGACATCGCCATGAGCAGTCCGTACTTGATACAAGTATCGGTACTTCTTCTGTCGTAGCTCCGCCCTCTGTTCTCGCGTACGCGGCTTAGGGACGTTGCCGTGGCGATTGGGATGCTTCACAGGCAATACTACCAAATAAATTTACCGTGAATTAGAATCACCAATACCAAACTTTTAGTATATTTCAATTCTATTCAATTCAAAACATCTTTATTCATTTGTGCTTAGGACATGTAGGCTTTAGGCCTTTATTGACATGTCAGATTATAACATATATCGCTCATGCACTACTTTGTTTAATAAAACATCTAAGAATTTTGCATCTAAGTTATGACTCTAAACTCCATTCCAAGTTCACATTCTACGTTACATGATGATTCACTCACTTCACTACTCCAGTAATACACCACCATGCCATGCTGGCAAAATATTTTTAAAACCCTTCCACCCTTATTACCACTCAATTCCCCATTAACAGGGCTTATGGGAGATAGTCATATCATTAACATTCCTGAAAAGCATGTATATTGTCATGTGGATGTTGTCAACTGTCCTCATACGACGCTCACAAAAGCACTTACTTTACTTATTTCTGTAAATTTACACTCCTCATAGATTTTGACATATAATTATTAATTTGGATTTTGACTTTGGGTATGATTTTAATTCCCTGGATAGTAAGTGGGTTTAAGAAAAAAATAAGTAGTGTTTTGCATGTAATGACTTTGTGGAGGATAGTATTGCTGAAAGAGCCATTTTAAATACTGTACATAGCTTACTGTATGGCAAACGTGAAACAGAAGTCACTGTCACTGAAGTTAGATTGAAAAATATCACTGAACGCCAAACTTAGTACCATAGTGAGGCTTAGTATGAGCATCCAGATATTTCATTTTTACTTCAGTTAAGTATAATGTACACGTACAATCAACAAATCGTGCTACATGTTTTAATGAGACTATCTTAAAGATTGAATAAAAAAACATAATTAACAACTGGGTGGGCATTAATTGCGCCAAATGACCTGAGTCAGGTAGTCGGGTATTCCTGAATTGTGCCAAATACTCCAGGGAGCCACCCGATAAGTTCATTAACTGCGCCAAGTGGCGGCCCACTTTGAGTGTATACTTAAGTAGGTTAAGTTAGGTAAGGTTAGGATGACACGTAAACAAGGACATTCCTTCTGCCGGTAACTCACCCCTACCTGGATTGTGCTTGGCACAACTAGAACATATTTTGGGAACCCTTTGAGGGCTTTGCGCAATTAAGGAACTCTTTGGTGCGATTAATGCACGAGCTTTGCAAACAACTGAGACAAACTTAGGCCATAAATCTAAGGCGGGTTACAGACCGGTATCGCGGATATGATGTTGCCGATATTTCTGATGTCGCGGACATGATGTCTAAATAAAATACAACCATGGAAGAGGCACATGCTGGCGACATGAGAGTGAAGGAATCACAACATTCATCACTTTAAATAATGTCATCGTCATAAGAAGATGATGTGTTGTTGCTGTTGTTCTTTCTACAAAAACATTAAAGATAACTTCATGGTAATCTTTCCAAAATACATTGTAATTAATTGTATTACAGTACTTACGTAATTTCCTTATGGTGTAAATTGAAGTATTTAATATCACAATACTACATTTCACACCATAAGGCAATAAATTAAGTAATAAAGCGCAAAAACTACTAGAAACGTGTTCTGCGCATGCGCGGGCCCAAGAGACACGAGACATGTCTGTCCAAACACCGACCGGTTGGTTCGCTCGAGACACGTGTCTGCGACACGAGTCGCAGGCAACGTGTCTGCGACACTGGTGTGTAAAGCTCCATAAGATAACATAAGTTGGTTTTCGAGGGGCATGTCGCGGGCACGAAAAATATCGGCAACATCATATCCGCGATACCGGTGTGTAACCCGCCTTACACAATGCTAAGTCCTTTAGGCAGATTGTATTGTCTGGAGGATGAAACACCAATGGAACAGATTCTCAAGAAATGCTAATAAGTTTAAACTCACGCTGTTGATGGTGAATACCACGTCCAGTGATTGCGAACTGGACGATGAGTCCGAACACGACCACACTCGGCCAAAGGCCTAGCACTGCCCAGCTGAACCAGCATGGCTGGGCAGGAGACTGGCGTAGAGTGATGCGGTCCCAGACCCACCGCACCATCATCAGCTTCTCTATGAAGTAGTCCAAGGCTCCTGAGAGAATGGCTCCACCGTAGACACTGGTGCCCAGCACTGTGAATGCTGTAACATTAAAGGACCATTAGAGATTTACTACAAGTGATTGTGATTGATTTGGCTGAAACTTTACTCCCCAGCTATCTGTAAGTTACTTGAGGAGTGATTATAGCAATCTGCATCCTAAAAGTAAGACTCGCCCAACATAGTTCCTTAACTTAAAAATATGCCTACAAATTTCTGTAAAAATAAAATCTTTCTAGGAATTAATACTTATGAATTAACCATATACTGTATACTGACAGAGTCTTTTACCAGTTTTGGGGGAAAAAATATGTAGTTTAATTAAATTGAGAGCCACTGACGGAAGACCTTGATGTATATTATTGGTTTCTGTTAAATACGCAAAATATTTAAGCACTCTAAACTGATATTATTGTAAACGTGATATTAACTATTGCAGTTAAACAAAATTTAAATGAGGAATAGAATTTTGGAATGTTTTAGCACACTCATTTGTGGGTCATTCAACTAACTATGTTCCTGAGACAACACTGCCAGCTATTACAGGTCGGCCGCTTGGAATGTGACCTCTTACATGTGCGATGAATCCTTGTGCAGGTCGCTATCTGTCCGGCCGACCTATAATAGCTGGTTCATATAGAAGGAATGTTTTTAGTATCCAAAAATTAATGAGCATTATAAAATTAAATGGGGTTCAAGAACTGTCAACAGCTTAAGAACACAAATACTAGAACTTTGTACCTCCATTCCCCTAACTTTGAATGATTGTAGCAAAATAATGACATTGTCAACTTTCTCGTTTACCTTTGGGCCACTGCAGGTTGAGGACGGCAAACAGCACACCACAGCCCAGCATGGTGCCAGCCGTGGTGAGGAGGGTGGGGGGGTGAGACACTTGCTCTGTGGTCACTAGAGATGCAATGGCTACAAACAACCCTGTGTGGAACCCAGTCATGAACAGTCCGACGTACTGGACGAGCATTGTGATCAGGCCTAGTAGTAGACCCGCACTCAGCGCCATGCCTGCAAACATTTAGTTGACAACTATCAGTTGCCTTCCTAGGACCTTATCACCAGGAGGGGGGTTTGGGGGTTCTCCCTTGGAAATTTTGCTGTTTTTAAAGCCATTCGGTGACTTTTAAAAGCCATTTTCAATGTCTAGAACTCTATCCAAAAACGTTACTTTTTATGACACAATGTATGTTTGAATATACATTTTCAGAGTACATGGGGCGCTTTAGTCCCTATAGCCCCCCTTGGAACCGTCACTGACAATCAACCTGTACATTTGAAAGTACAGTAGAACCACAATAACAGTGTTTCTTGGGTTTATTCACAGCTTTATTTAACAGATAAAATTTCTACATACATCAATAGTCAAACAATAAACACTACAACATTATTTACTTTTCCACAATTTTTTGAGCTTAAATTGCAACTATGTCCATAATATTTTAAAATAAAGGCATTTTTTAAGTATAGTAGAGGTACGCTTACGCTCTTTACGTTTACTCTCTTTTTATGGTCTTAACTTATATGATTTGTGGATGTGCTGTGAATCAAATCTGTTCCTCTCACACTAAAGTCAGAGACGCTAACCACTAGGCAACACTCCTATTTTTGCACAGTTCATAAAGTAGCGAGACGGCCCAATTGCTTCAACTAGAGCAGAGGTGCACTTCAAAGGTCATTTCAATAGACCTTGTCAGGCCGGTTCTTTCTTCACTTTGTAGACAAAACTTAATGGTTTTTATTTAAATATATTTCAAAAGTATATATTTTGTTAGAAATAAAAATTATTTATTGATTTTGAAATTGAAACCAAAACTACAAAAAATATTTTTGAACGAAATTCCTTTTCATCAATCTTCCTCTAACTTAACTTGTTCACATTCTAATTTTAAACAAATCTGACCCATTATATTTCAAATTTTTTTAAATGTTGTAAATTTTCAGAGTTGAGTTAGGTAGAAAGAAGTATAGAGAACACCAATGATAGTGAAAATGGTTTAACTTTGTTGTACAATACAGGATGTTTATTAGATTACATCATTACACCATCACACTGTGTGTATTTAAAAGCAAAGCCAAGTGGAGTGTGAGCATTGAATGAATGAGATAACAGCTATGTTACCGGCTAAGATCAGCGGGACTTTTAACGAGGACCACTTATTAAAAGCCCAATGAACAAGGACAGCGGTCCAGTTTTGAACCATCAAAGGCTTCTGACTTAACTCAGAATCAAACCTGCAAACCTTCTAACTGAACACATCCACTCATCAAGTTGTATCAAATAGAATTAGAACCTTTTAATTTTGAGGAAAAAGAGTTTCAAGTCACTCAAGAATCACATGAGTCCAGATTGGTCGATGTATTACCTGCATTAGCGTAAGGGGGCAAGAGTTTGTCCTGTATGCAGATCATGTAGATGATCACTGAGCCGAAGATGAACCCTGTTAGGAACATCACAGCCTTGAAGCATCGGTAACCTGAAACATGTTACACATAACACTTTGTATTTTTACACCGTTGAGGCACAGAATTAGTGGTAATTACATGTAGGTGTATTCCTTTAGAAACTTTTGTGATCTTTGAAACGTAATTTGAAATGATTGGAAAATTTCAAAAGGTGGAGAGCTCAATGAAGCCTCCTTCAGCATATTCGCAAAAGAAAGTGTAGTAGTCTCATTTATCCAAAATTGAATTACCTGCCTTTGATGTTATCCACTGTGGATGATCGGTGCATTGAAGTCGTAGGACAATTCTGTGTGGTGTGACTGTGTAAACCACAGTGGATATGTGGAGACGACCCCCTTTACCTTGCTGTCTGAACTTGCTAGAATTTTAACTTAAGAACCTGCACCAATTTCTGATTGTTTTAATTGTTTTAGAGTGCTGCACAAAACACAGTTTCCCCACACTTGAAATCCTCTCTGCTGGTCTTTTAGTTCCAGTGAGAACTAAGTCCTGTGGTGGGGTGGACAAAAGTAGGTACCGATTGATCCAATATTTTTCTACAGCTAAAGTACTGTTTTCTTTTACTGTGGTGGTTTGACAATGCAGAAAATTAATTTTAATAATTTGGCTGAACATTGAGGCATTTCTCACTCACCAAAGAGGCTGTAGACGATGCCAAAGACGATGTACATGGCACAGATGACGGCAGGGATGAGGTCGTAGTTGTAGTCGATGGCATGGCAGCGCTGAGGGTACGTAGGCACCACCCCCGGAGCCCCTGGCAGGGGGGGAGGAGACGACTCTACGCCCCGGTCCACCGGCACCAGACTGTCGGCAGACATGCCCTGCAACATTGAACATAACGTAAAGTATCTTATAATCAAAGTTAAGTTATCATTTTATAATCAAGACGAACATTCTAACTATCAGAATTCTTGTAGACGGTGATAAAACTAGATAACATTTGACTAAGTACGAAAGATGACTACAATAAGCGGTCTGTGATCTGCAACAGTAAAACGAACACATCTTTGAGCGTTTTCTCGTTGCGATGACATATACGCTAACCAGTTATCTTTACGGCACCGGCCATCCTCGGTGACAAATATCCCCCCCCCCCCACACACACACACACATACATAGTTCTCAGTCCCCCAGTTTATATCTTCGGTTTTGTTTTGGTACCGTGCATATGGAAAACATGCTTTTTAATACAGCTGATATTTTTATCAACAAAATAAGTGTGCATATCATGGGATGTAACCTCTAAAGCACTAATTAAAAGCCCAATGATGAAGGACAGGTGTGACTGCAGTAAACATAGTTCTTTTTAAAACTGGTAATTTATTGAATTGTAAGTGTTTGGACAGTGTAAATGATCATTGATTGACAATAGTCTTATGAATATAACATCGCATATTTATGAAGTTGTACAATGATTAGATTGTCACCATCAGAGTGATTAGAATGTACTCATAGTTCTGTTCTAAGTGTGTACGTTAAAAAAATCATTAAGTTTTTCCCTCTTTAGAATTATATTTGTAAGGTATTTCGTTTTGAAAAGAGTTTTAGTGACTGTTGTGAGTTAAATGTTTGGCAGCAATAAATTTCTACTGAACAAAATGTCCACTGCTTCCAAGATCAAGAACATTCAAACGCAAATTCCCACTCATCTTAACATCTGTCTCAATCCCAACAAATGAATGGACATAACACAATCTCCAGTTATCTACAGGATGCTGTTATCTGTATTCCAACGTTTCACTACAAATTACTTGCATATGTTAAGCATACGGTTTATATGTAAGTAAACCCCCTAACACATCCATTTATTATTGTTTATCAGACCACAGATAACCATGTGGTCAGTGTAAGCTCAGCTGTTCCATACAAATGACCACAATCAGCTGATTGAGCCACGCCTACATCCTGCACAGACCTGTGTGAGTGTAATGTGTATGCAAAGTGGTCCTGTCTTGACAACACCTATCTGGATAAGTGCACTGGATCACTGTTTCAAACAGGAGTTAGCTTATTTCTCTGTAGTCATTGACCCTGTTAAAAATTTACTTTAAAATAAACACAGTTCATAAGATTTAGTCATTTGAGGAATATGTTTTTGTTTTTTGAGTGGTGACTCTAATTAGTAACAGAATGAATTTTATTTTTAAATTATCTCTAAAAAAAGCAAACTGGGATTTGAACAAAACCACTTGGACCTCTTTGGCCCTCAGAGGTCAGCCTTCCCTCATACTCTAAATGGAATTTAAATTGGAAAATATAAATTAGTCCATCTGACTGAAAATTTTGATCAAATACTCTTTAGTACTGATTCACCGTCGGAGTTGTGCCACCATGCTATAAATGTAAAATGTTTATTATCAATACCTACTACTATAGCAATTTAATTTATGGATTTTTTCAGGAGGTGCTGGCTTCAATGGGACTCAGATTGTCCAACTACCTTAAAATTGTTGGGAGGAAATGTTCATTCTTTTATCTAAACTTTGGTCCAAAATGGGATAGGTTCTCTAAATGTTCTTTATCCTTTAACCCCTGCATATCCAAACACCTGTTGTAAGAGCTGTGAATAAGTTAAGCACGTTCATTGATTTATTTAACAAGTAAGTAGAGTGTGTTTGGCTTCTCATCAAAAATTAAAAGAACACCATCACCTTTTGTAGTTTAATCATATCCTATGTTTCTATATGTACAACATTTAACATTGATCCGTGATTCAAAATATTCTATTGTAAATGTATATAATTTGTCAACCATATAATTATCACTGCGTAAGAATTTTTTTCATGTTTCATGTTTTACAAGCGTGTTTTTATGTTTACCGACGACCTAAATTTGAGTGAAATGACATTTTAACCCCCAGATATTTTAATCCCGTCACCAAACAATAGGATGATGGATAATATTATACCATTTATTTCAATAAGTGATCCTGGGCCTCTAAGCATAATGAAATGTTGTGAATAGGATACCCCCTAAAGCAGCGGCTACACTTACCCGATTCGGTCCGGTTCGGTCCGGTCCTCCAAAATGCGGAACAATGCTTCCCATGTTTTTAAATGGAGGCGGCTACACTTACCCGATTCGGTCCGGTACGGTCCGGTTCGGCGCGGAACAATCGTCCAGGGAGCATTCATCCGCATTTTGGCGGAAGCATTCGGGGCGGACCGGACCGAATCCGATAAGTGTAGCCACCTACTCCCGAATTTCGGATGAGGATCGGGTGGTTCCGTGAGAACTCGGCTACGAAAGTGATGAATTCAATTAGGAAAAATAGTTATTTGTAGGATATAGGCCTAAGAATTTAGGCAATTATGTTCATATATTGCCTCGATCATGGAAGAAGATAATTATGTCTACACGACCGCTGAAAATAGTCTGAATTTTGTCGCAATATTCGGAGACGATTACAATGTCTACACGGCCGCGAGGGATTATAGGAAGTTTACCGAGATTGCATGCAAGTACAACCACAATTTTTTTTAATTTTTCATTTTTTGGCACCCCTTAAAAAAGCCAATTGCCTCGCGCCCTAGGCACGTGCCTGCCGTGCCTATTCGGTTAATCGATCCTGAATAAACACGTTCTGTATTGCTGTACTTGTGCCCATTGCTCGTGTGTGTCTTCCAAAATATCATACAAGTGTAGCTACCTCTTTCGGCCGTACCGAAACGATTCGTACAAGTGTAGCCACCCCTCACAAATTCGGGCCGGACCGAACCGAACCGGACCGGACCGAATCGGGCAAGTGTAGCCGCTGCTACATAATATTTACAATTAACCTCGCAAAACCTTATCACAAACTTGCAATACAACAACAATAAAATTATTATGTAAGCAATCAAAATAAATTATTTCAAATCCAAAATCTTTGCACAAAAACAGTGGGAAACCCTCTCAAAGATTTTAAACTTATCTCCTCCAGTTACCCACCCACCCTAAACTTCCGGTTATCATTTTACCGCCAGGGTGGGCGACACAGACACGGTGAGATTCAGGAGGCAGTGGATACGGTGTTACTTCCGTTTCCCGGCGCCGGAAGTCACTAGGTCAAGCAAGCACCTGTGACTGCGACGCACCACCTGATCGTTTACTTTCTCTAAACCAACGATCACTTCCTAGTGGGTCTCTACGTTAAGGTCAAGTTCAAGACCGTGAGTGTTCTTCCCAACAGTAGGCCTGAGGAAATGAATCAAAACTGCTAGGAAATTTGGTGTTTGTGTTTTGAAAATATCTATCAAAATGTGTAGGCCACTCCTTTATATACCACAATTGTACTTTATATGGCTTAAGTTAAAATAATGGAGCGGAAAATTTTACCATTGCCTGAAGTAGACATCACATTCAAGCGATAAGCCTGTGGACAGGTCAGTTTGAGAATAAAAACCTAGGCCCAAAGTCACGTTAAGGTCAAGTTCAAGACCAAAATGTCTTCTTTCGAATAGTATGAGAAAATTCATCAAAACCACTGTGAGTGACAATTTAACCATCAATGTTAAACATTTTCATTTTCAAAGGCTACCTCGATTCTGCCAGTACGAAATAATGAAATTTAGCAGAATATTTCTTTGACTATCGTAGAATAAAACATCTCGTTATCATTCAATCAGCTGTGTCCTGTTATAGAACACATTTTGAAGCGCCGAAGGTGTCAGTCCCCCATTTCCGTCGGAATAGGAAAATTTTTAACCAAACCAAGTTAAATGCACAACAAGATGTGAACTGTAGCATCGTTTTGTCCCAAAAACTAAAACAGCGTCCGTCCAAAGCTACGATCAACAACTAGAATTTTGACAGTAGTGCGTTGTGAGAAGCTCATTCTACTGTATTTTAATTTTAAAGACTGGCTACATATAGTCCATATATTTGTGGTGTTTACTTCATCTGCCAATCGATGACGTAACTCCTGTGGTTCGTATTCCTGAATCACAGTAAGACAACACCAATGGTGTGAATATCAACATCTAATCCAAAGTAGGTCAAGTGCAAGGTGTCGATACTGGTTGCGTAATCTTGACTATGAAAACAAGTCGGTCCAGTGAGTGTTTGTTGGTACTCGTTTGAATAGATACCATTGTAAAATGGTAAACAAGACAACCAAAATCATAGCGAGGCAGGTCTAGAAAGATACTGCGACACGTATCGTACCCCATAATGTGATCGTCGATCGTACCAAACAGTTTGTGTAGGCCTAATCTAAGCTTAAAATTAAAAATATAGGTAATTTCGACATTTTTGTTTCTTAAAATACCAGATACCTAGCAAAACTTAAAATCATAATGGATTTAGTAAAAATATGAACGACATGATCCTGGTTTATTTGCAAATGTGGAATGGCAAAGAGGTTCATAACCACAAATTATTAATAAGATTAAAATATTTCTGTATTTTACTGTGTAAAATCATGTACAACCTAAAGATATGTCCATTGTTTTTTTTGTGTGGAACCATTAATTTGTCTTGATATCTTTTTGTATTTTAATTTCTTAAAACGTGGTGATATAAGACTTAAACAGTACTCAGAGGCACAAAATTAATTATTTAATTGTACGTGTTTTCTCTCATCATTTAACATACGCCTTTGGGTTCTGCTGACTTATTGTATGTACTGTATGTTTGTTTTGCATTTTTATTTTCGCTGATTAACACGATAAACTTACATCAGTTACTATTGTAAGCAACTCATATGACATGACGTTTGGAGCAAATAATATATTTCACATATAATTAACATTATGCAATCACCCTCGGGGAAGCATAACACTACTCGCTCCGGTTTTAGCAATAAGAGCTCAAAGAGAGTGAAGGACGCTTGGTGAAAGAG